CGCAAACTCCCCATTTGCACAAGGTTGGATACCAAGCTAGCCATGTCCTGTTCCTTGTCCTCACTGATGTCATTGAAGGTCTCTTCCTCCACCCAGCCACGTACAACACCAAGGGTCCCCGAAAGGTGACAACAAGCCCCCTGGGAAGCCTGCTGTGTTTAGTCTTCCACCTCCTCAAAGCCACCTTCCTCCTCTGACTCCTCTTCTTCAGACTCCTCTCTCTGCGTTGCCTCTCTCTGCGTTACTATAAGGTGTGTTAAGTAGTATTATTCTTATCAGTTTAATCCCTGTTATGTGCCTTTTTTTTGGTTTGGTTTTTGAAACCACAGTGCAGCACCAGAGGCCCGAAAAATTAGGCATGTACACATGCCTGAAAAATTTGGTATTGTTGCAGCCGCTGCCCTAAAACAGTGTTCCCCAACCCCGGGCCGCGGACCGATACGTGGATCAAACGTTTACCGGTCCGCGGCGATAAAAAGGTTGGGGAGCACTGCCCTAAAACATTGCGGCTTGAACCCTAGTTGGTGGCGGATAAGTCACACAAGTCAACCGGCATTCAGAGCTAAAATACAGCAGCGTGTGGACCATTTTTAGCCCAAGGCAGCTCATCTCATCAGGCCTTTTTTAGTCAGATGTATCGCCCACTGTCAGTCCCGTCGGGATCCATCCCTCATTCATCTTAATAAAGGTGAGGTATAGAGATGTCGCGAACCGTCCGCGAACTTCTCACGAACGGATCGCCGCGGTTCGCCACGAGCTGTTCGTGGCGAACTCCGGTCAGCTGACACGTCCCGGCCAATCTCCAGCAGACCCTCCCTCCCAGACCCTCCTACTTCCTGGACAGTTGAACATGGATGCTGTCCAGGAAGTAGGAGGGTCTGGGAGGGAGGGTCTGCTGGAGATTGGCAGGGACGTGTCAGCTGACCGGAGTTCGCCGCAAACAGCTCGTGGCGAACCGCAGCGAACCGTTCGCGAGAAGTTCGCGGACAGTTCGCGACATCTCTAGTGAGGTAATCTAGACTTTTTTGACCTAGGCGACTTCTCTTCTCAGTGACAATACCTCCTGCTGCACTGAAGGTCCTTTCTGACAGGACACTTGAAGCGGGGCAGGCCAGAAGTTCTATCGCAAATTGGGAGGAGGAGGATTACTTTCACCTCTTCCCCTGTTAGATTCCCGTTGTGCTGTGACATCACCCTTATACGCTGTGTAAAGCATACTTTTTAATTTATTTAATGCTGCATCCTTTCCGACTTGTTGTAATTTGGTAACATTTTAGCCACTTTCTGCTTATACCGGGGGTCTAGTAGCGTGGACACCCAGTACAGGTCATTCTCCTTCAGCCTTTTTATACGAGGGTCCCTCAATAGGCACGACAGCATGAAAGACCCCATTTGCTCAAGGTTGGATGCCGAGCTACTTATTTCCCGTTCCTCCTCCTCAGTGATCTCAATGAAGGTATGTTCTTCCCCCCAGCCACGTACAACAACACGGGTACCAGATAGGTGACAACGAGCACCCTGGGATGCCTGTTGTGGTTGGTCTTCTTCCTCCTCCTCAAAGCCACATTCCTCCTCTGACTCCTCTTCCTCACAATCCTCTTCCAGCGTTGCCGCAGGTCCAGCAAGCGATGCTGATAAGGCTGGTTCTGGTGGTGATGGTGACCACAACTCTTCCTCTTCCTCTTCACGCTCATCTACGGCCTGATCCAGCACTCTTCACAGGGCACGCTCCAGGAAGAAAACAAATGGTATGATGTCGCTGATGGTGCCTTCGGTGCGACTGACTAAATTTGTCACCTCCTCAAAAGGATGCATGAGCCTACAGGCATTGCGCATGAGCGTCCAGTAACGTGGCAAAAAAATTCCCAGCTCCCCAGAGGCTGTCCTAGCACCCCGGTCATACAAATATTCATTAACGGCTTTTTCTTGTTGGAGCAGGCGGTCGAACATTAGGAGTGTTGAATTCCAACGTGTCGGGCTGTCGCAAATCAAGCGCCTCACTGGCATGTTGTTTCGCCGCTGGATATCGGCAAAGTGAGCCATGGCCATGTAGGAACACCTGAAATGGCCACACACCTTCCTGGCCTGCTTCAGGACGTCCTGTAAGCCTGTGTACTTATGCACAAAGCGTTGTACGATCAGATTACACACATGTGCCATGCACGGCACATGTGTCAAATTGCCCAACTTCAATGCCGCCAACAAATTTGTTCCGTTGTCACAAACCACTTTGCTGATCTCCAGTTGCTGCGCAGTCAGCCACTTTTCCACCTGTGCGTTCAGGGCTGACAGGAGTGCTTGTGCGATGTGACTCTCTGCTCTCAAGCAAGTCAAACCCAAGACGGCATGACACTGCCGTATCCGGGATGTGGAATAGTACCTGGGGAGCTGGGGGGGGTGCCGTTGATGTGGAGCAAGACGCAGCAGCAGAAGAAGACTCAGCCGAGGAGGTTATGGAAGAGGATGGAGTAGGAGGAGTAGAGGAGGTGACAGCAGGCCTGCCTGCAAGTCGTGGCGGTGTCACCAACTCCTCTGCAGAGCCATGCATTCCATGCTTGGCAGCAGTCAGCAGGTTTACCCAATGCGCAGTGTAGGTGATATACCTGCCCTGACCATGCTTGCAGACCAGGTATCAGTGGTCAAATGGACCCTTGCCCCAACACTGTGTGCCAGAGATGCTATTACTTCCTTTTGCACAATCGAGTACAGGTTGGGGATTGCCTTTTGTGAAAAGAAATTTCGTCTGGGTACCTTCCACTGCGGTGTTCCAATAGCTACACATTTTTTGAACGCCTCAGACTCCACCAGCTTGTATGGTAAAAGCTGGCGGGCTAATAGTACAGACAAGCCAGCTGTCAGACGCCGGGCAAGGGGGTGACTTTCTGACATTGGCTTCTTACTCTCAAACATGTCCTTGACAGACACCTGACTGTAGGCAGATGAGCAGGAACTGCTCAAGGCGAGAGACGGAGTGGCGGATGGTTGAGAGGGGGCAAGGAGGACAGCAGTGGTTGACATGGCTGAAGATGCTGGACCAGGAGGAGGATGGCGGCTTTGAGTTTGTGTGCTGCTTGTACTCATGTGTTGATCCCATAGGCGTTTGTGATGTGCGATCATGTGCCTTCGCAAAGCAATTGTACCTAGGTGGGTGTTGGACTTCCCACGACTCATTTTCTTTTGGCACAGGTTGCAAATGGCATCGCTGTTGTCAGAGGCAGACACACAAAAAAAATTCCACACTGCTGAGCTCTGCAATGGCGGCATTCTGGTGGTGGACACAGCATGCGCTGATTGGCATGCTGTCGGGCTGACCCCGGGTGTCGATGCATGCTGTCTGACTGTGCCACTAGCTCCTTGCGACGACCTCCCCTGCTTCCAACTCGTCTCCTCCTCCTCCCTGTCTCCCCATCTGAACTTTCGCCCTGTTCTTCTTCTTGACGAGCGGGCACCCACGTGACATCCATGGACGCATCGTCATCATCAACCGCTTCACTTGTATCTGACAACTCAGCAAAGGAAGCAGCAGCGGGTACAACATCATCATCATCACACCGTACATGTGTAATGCTGCCTGATTGAGACATATCCCTGTTATCTACATCCTCTGTCAATAATGGTTGCGCATCACTCATTTCTTCAAGCGGATGTGTAAATAACTCCTCTGGCATACCAAGTGAAGCGGCTGTGGTGCTAGTGTTGGTGGTGGCGGCAGGCGGGTGAGTGGTATCTTGAGAGGTACCCGAAGCTAAGCTGGAGGAGAATGTTGCGTCAAGGTTCCGAGCGGAAGCTGTAGAAGATTGGGTGTCCTGTGTTAGCCAGTCAACTATGTCCTCAGAACTTTTCAAGTTCAGGGTACCTGGCCTCTGAAAACTGGGCATTATTCTAGGGCAAAAGGGAATCACAGTACCACGACCACGACGGCCCCTGCGGGGTGGCCTGCCTCTGCCTGTCATTTTTTTTCCGATTAGTGGTACTATGCGTGCAAGCCACTGTGACACCAGATATGAGTGGCACTGTGAACTGGCAGAGGTTGGCAGAGTACATGCTGTAGGGCTGACACACCCGCTTTGAGACAACTAACTGCTATTCAATCTATAACAGTGAAAAAAGTTTTTTGTTTTTAAATGCAAGCTACTGTGACACCAGTGAGTGAGTGGTGGCACTGGGCACAGTATCCACTGTGAGCCTGACACACAACGCTTGGCAGACAACTAACTGCTATTCAATCTATAACAGTGAAAAAAGTTTTTTTTTAAATGCATGCTATTGTGACACCAGTGAGTGAGTGGTGGCACTGGGCACAGTATCCACTGTGAGCCTGACACACCAGCTTTGAGACAACTAACTGCTATTCAATCTATAACAGTGAAAAAAGTTTTTTGTTTTTAAATGCAAGCTATTGTGACACCAGTGAGTGAGTGGTGGCACTGGGCACAGTATCCACTGTGAGCCTGACACACCCGCTTTAAGACAACTAATGCTATTCAATCTATAACAGTGAAAAAAGTTTTTTGTTTTTAAATGCAAGCTATTGTGACACCAGTGAGTGAGTGGTGGCACTGGGCACAGTATCCACTGTGAGCCTGACATACCCGCTTTGAGACAACTAACTGCTATTCAATCTATAACAGTGAAAAAAGTTTTTTGTTTTTAAATGCAAGCTATTGTGACACCAGTGAGTGAGTGGTGGCACTGGGCACAGTATCCACTGTGAGCCTGACACACCCGCTTTGCAGACAACTAACTGCTATTCAATCTATAACAGTGAAAAAAGTTTTTTTTTTTAAATGCAAGCTATTGTGACACCAGTGAGTGAGTGGTGGCACTGGGCACAGTATCCACTGTGAGCCTGACACAGAAGCTGGCAGACAACTAACTGCTATTCAATCTATTATAGTGAAAAAAAAAATTTTTTTTAAATGCAAGCTATTGTGACACCAGTGAGTGAGTGGTGGCACTGGGCACAGTATCCACTGTGAGCCTGACACAGAAGCTGGCAGGCAGGCAGGCAACTGCAATTACATTACACAGAAAAAAAAAAGCAGACTGATGTTCTAGCCCTAAAAAGGGCTTTTTGGGGTGCTGTCCTTACAGCAGAGATCAGATGAGTCCTTCATGACTGTAGTGAACACTGTATACCCTAACCTAGCTATGCATTTCCCTATCTAATCAACAGCAGCTACACTTTCCCTCCTCTCACTAAGCATGCAGCTTGAGAATGAATGTAAAATGGATGCCTTCCAGTAGGTGGGAGGGTCTGCTAGGGGGGTGTGCTGCTAATTGGCTGGAATGTGTCTGCTGACTGTGAGGTACAGGGTCAAAGTTTACTCTATGATGATGAATAGGGGGCGGATCGAACCGCGCATATGTTCGCCCGCTGTGGCGAACGCGAACATGCTATGTTCGCCAGGAACTATTCGCCAGCGAACCGTTAGGTGCATCACTATTCATTTTAGAGTCATTAGGAAGGGAGGTTGCCATTTGGCATTTAAGTCTTTTTCTGTCTGACCCATTTACTAATTTCTTCAATCAGATTTCCTCAAGATATATAACTTTATCAATTGTTATCTATAGTATTTATTATTTTCTATTTATCCAGTGGATACTCGTTTTGAGTATCTTATAGTTCTAATTATTTTCCATACTTCCTCAAGCGCTGGGTTGTAGGTGACCACAAGTGGTACACGTGTAGAGATTTATATCTCTCTGTATTGTAGCAGGCATGTCGGGAGAGTACATTTTAGATGGGAATTATGGTCACTAGGGTCAGAGCATATGCGATCACTGTAGATGATGCCCTGTTTAGTGTGGGACGGGTGGAAACTGGAGTTGTGAAGGTAACTGCACCTGTCTGTGGGTTTTCTGTAAACTGAGGTGTCAATTGTGCCATTGTTACATGTCCCAGTGGTGTCCAGAAAATTCACAGATCTTGTAGAATATTCAATTTTTAGTTTGATGGATAATGGAATGAGTGTCATAGAATTGTGTGAGTTTTTTCTCACTTTCAGTCCAAATGATGAAGATATCATTGATATATCGAAATATTTGTGTGGTTTGATGTGCTGTGTTTCTAGGTCTGCCATATTGGGGTGTGGCAAAACCAACCTTGCCACTGGGCATTGGAGAAGACTGATTGCCAGCCTCTTGCCATGTGATTATGGTCCCTGGAAGATCTGGCCATTTAAATACAGTATTTGGGCATATTGTATTTTATTGTGCTGTTTCTGGCCCTTTAAGTACTTTGGGAAAGGACCTGCATTTTTGGCATGGCACTTAGGATGCAGCCGAAGTGCCGAAGTGGCCAACATTAGAAAGCCAAACACTTGGCGGCGGCCATTTTAATTCATTCGAATGCAGTCAACGGTGTGTGCCGTCAAACTCATGGAACTAAAATCGGCTACAGAACGGCATGAACACCGTTGAAGTTTTACCTTCCCTGGAACTAAAGCATTCAACAGTTTATTTGACAGTTCATTCGACAGTTCATTCGACAGTTCATTCGACAATTCAAATGGTTGTCGTTCATCTATTTGAACTGACTTTAACATGGGAAACAGACCGGCCGCACAGCCTGATTCTCTGGAACTGTTTTGGGCATGAAAATGTGCTTGCGGTCGGTCATAAAAGGACTTCCAGCTAACTTTTTAACACCTGGATGGAATTGGCTGAATTTTGGATATGTTTATAATTAAACTATGCTGAATAATAATATTTCTCTGCCTGTGATAATCACATTAACCCATTGTGTAAGGTAATTGTATCACAGGCAGAGGGGAGGATTTTGTGTGTGAGTGTCTGAGTGTATTGTAGGTATTGATTGGTTGTACTTCAAAACGTGTGGGCGGTACTATGGTTGTAGAATGGGCATAAAAGCAGAGTGTTTGATTAAAAGCTTCAGTTCTACTTCACCCTCAATTTGGAGTGTCGTCTCTTATTGGGGGAATCTGCTACAAGGGATTGCTATGCTAGTCATACTCATATTGCTAAATCACTACTAAGCTCTTGTAAGAGCTTGTTCCTGTTCTGCTACCTGAAGGAGTCTACGGTGGTTATGGTGTCTGCTGAGGTGTTTGGAGTCCTCAGATAGCGCTAGGAGCATCCTTCAACGGAGGTACCCAGTCCAGGTGCCAGGTGATCCGTTACACAGCTGTTTCCCCCACACATGAGACAAGACTCTATGTTGAGGGAAGGCAGGAACTAGTTTAATGGGAGCCACAACTGGCCTTATATGCAAGTCCCCATGCAAGGGGTACTCCCACCTGGACCTGACTACAGTACAAAGTTTCAGACCAATGACAAAGTTGTTCAAGTTCATGACACTCCCATACATAATCAAATAATCCCTCCTCTGTGCCTGGGAGATTATTGAATCAGGAACTGTACTAATCGAATCCAATTATCTCCAAGCACAGAAAAACATACAATTTAACAGTACCCCGAAACTCCCACCAAAACCCATGGAAACCCCACAAAAGTTATATCCCCTGACAGCCCCGATATGGGGGACCAACATATCCAAAGATCACCCAGATTGGTTCAGTAGTTCAAGATTTCCATGGAAGTCACATTTTGACCGACGGGAATACATGAAACAGTCCAAATACCGAACTTAGAAGTTCGTATGGGCACTGTGATGAAGTTAAGTGCCGCTGAGGACCAACCGGGAACCACAAGGTTTTCATGCAGAAAATAGTTCCAGGGCGTTCGCGGCTAAATCCCCCTGAAGTCTATTCGCGGTTTTGGTCCATGCGAACAAGATGGCCGCCACCACGTGTTCGAATGTTGACTACTTTGGCTGTTCGGGAGTTCGAAGAACCATTGTTTAAAGTCCCAATAGCCACAAATAGGGTCTCTCAACCACAATAAATTAAAGGGGCCATAGTCACAGGGTAAAAGGCTGGCAAGTAGTCCCCTCCAAACCTCAGTGGCGAAGTGGCTTTCATCACAGGGAATTCATGGTTGGTTTGAAGGGGATATCTCATCCAATGCCCACTGCGTACATACATGTATGTTGCCCCCTCTCTGTCTCTCCGTACTATTTGTTGCCCCCTCTCTGTCTCTCCGTAGCTTGTTGCCCCCTCACTGTCTCTCCGTAGTGTATGTTGCTACCTCTGTGTGTCTCTGTAGTGGAGTGTATATTGTCCCCTCTTTGTATCTCCGTAGTGTATATTGCCCCCTCTGTGTCTCTGTAGTGCATGTTACCCCCTTGCTTGTATTAATTTCTGCCCCTGTATATTATCTCCATTGATCACATGGTTATATCCATGACAGGGAAAGGTGAAATTTATTTGGAGTGCCAGCAACAATTTCTCTCTGTAACGGACCACCTGGCACCCCGACTGGGTACCTCCGTTGAAGGATGCTCCTAGCGATGACAGAGGGTTTCCAGCACTCCAGCAGACACCATAACCACCGTAGACTCCTTCAGAGAGCAAAAACAGGAACAAACTCTTACAAGAGCTTAGCAGTGAATATAGCAAGGGAGTATGCAGAGCATAGCAATCCCTTGTAGCAGATTCCCCCAATAACAGACGGCACTCCAAATTGAGGGTGAAGTAAAACTGAAGCTTTTAATCAAACACTCTGCTTTTATGCCAATTTTACACACATAGTACCGCCCAGAGGGTTTTGACGTACAATCAATCAATAGGTACAATACACTCAGACACTCCCACACAAAATCCTCCCCTCTGCCTGTGATACAATTACCTTACACAATGGGTTAATGTGATTATCACAGGCAGAGAAATACAGTTTTTACACATGTACTATAACTTTAATAATATACATTCAATCTTCATAAAAATGACATATTATTATTCAGCATAATATTATTCCAGGGGTTAAAAAGTTAGCTGGAAGTCCTTTTATGTCCGACCGCAAGCACATTTTCATGCCCAAAACAGTTCCAGAGAATCAGGCTGTGCGGCCGGTCTATTTCCCATGTTAAAGTCAGTTCAAATAGACGAACGACAACCATTCGAATTGTCGAATGAACAGTCAAATGAACCGCCGCAGCTTGGTTGGGGTCTCGCCGTCTCCTACCCACCCTGGACCTACGACAAGGCTCCAGGTTCCAAGAGAGTGAAGCAGGAACAAGCTCTTAAAAGAGCTTAGTAGTGATTAGCTAAGGGAGTATACAGAGCATAGCAATCCCTTGTAGTGATATAGCAATTCCCCCAATAAGAGATAGGACTCTAGATTGAGGGTGAAGAAGAACTGAACTTTTATTCAAACACTCTGCTTTTATGCCCATTCTACAACCATAGTACTGCCCACATGGTTTTGAAGTACAACCAATCAATACGTACAAGACACTCAGACACTCCCACACAAAATCCTTCCCTCTGCCTGTGATATAATTACCTTACACAATGGGTTAATGTAATTATCACAGGCAGAGAAATATAGTTTTTACACATGTACTGTAACTTTAAAACATTCAATCTTCATAAAAATGACATTATTATTCAGCACACTTTAATTATAAACATAGTCAAAATGCAGCCAATTCCACCCGGGGGTTAAAAAGTTAGCTGGAAGTCCTTTTATGACCGACCGCAAGCACATTTTCATGCCCAAAACAGTTCCAGAGAATCAGGCTGTGCGGCCGCTCTATTTCCCATGTTAGAGTCAGTTCAAACAGACGAACAACAACCATTCGAATTCTTGAACTGTCGAATGAACTGTCGAATGAACTGTCGAATGCATTAGTTCCAGGGAAGGTAAAACTTCAGCGGTGTTCGTGCCGTTCTGTCGCCGATTTTAGTTCCATGAGTTTGACGTCACACACCGCTGACTGCATTCGAATGAATCAAAATGGCCGCTGCCACGTGTTCGGTTTTCTAATGGCGGCCACTTTGACTACTTCGCCACTTCGGCTACATCCGAAGTGCCATGCCAAAACTGCAGGTCCTTTCCCAAAGTACTTAAAGGGCCAGAAACAGCACAATAAAAATCCATTATGCCCAAATCCAGTTCTTAAAGGGCCATACACAGGCCAATACAAGTCCATAAGCCCCAAATCAGTTCCTAGAAGGGCAATACATCCCAGGGCCATAGTCGCAGGGCAGGAGGCTGGCAAACAGGCCCCTCCAAAAACCAGTGGAGAGGTCACTTTCGCCACACTCTCCACCTCCCACCCCCAGCTCTGCCTGTCTAACCTATCTTTCTCGATACACTTATATACTTCTTCCTCTGTCTCTCTCTCTCTCTCTGTGTCTCTCCTACCTCTCTGTGGCTGTCTCTCTTTCTCTGTCTCTATCTTTCTCTGCCTCTCTTTCGGTCTTTGTCAGTCTGTCTGTCTCTATCTCCGTCTCCCTGTTTCTCGTTCTATGTCTGTTTGTCTCTCTCTGTCTCTCTCTCTGTCTGTCTCTTTCTCTCTCTCTCTGTTTCTCGTTCCATGTCTGTCTATCCATCTCTTTCTCTCCCACCTCTCTCTGGCTCTCTGACTGTCCTTTGCTCACTCGGTGTACAGAAGTCATGTTTACCCAAGAAATGAGTAAACATAACATCATCCTGTCCCGGAATCAGATGGCACAAATTGGATTTGAATTACCTGCAATGTGACTACACCAAAATCTCTCTGGCACCGTTATAGGGTAAAGCCTGTGCTGTCTATAGCTGGGGTCAGATTGTGTGTGGTAGTGGGAAGGAGTTGTGCAAGCTGTTTGTTGTATGTTTAATTCCGCCATGTCACGTATTCGGTGTGCACAGATTGTGGACTGAAAGACACAATTCAGAGAATGAAGGTCAGAATTACGCAATGTTTGGATATTACTGGCTATTTAAACCCAGATGGTATAAAGTCATGTTCAGATGTCCACCCAGTCTGGTTCTCACCCTCATTCTTCGACTGGCCGTCATTCTTCTGCACTCTTCCAGAATGGGAGGACCTCTGGCAGTCAGCGTTTTAATTTGTCTCCTGACTTCTAGTGTCGGTTATCCACTGTGAGTAAAGCATGTCCGTGTCTGTGTTAGGTAGCTAGTCCTTCTTTCAGGGTAGAGAGGTGCCAGGATAGAGTTATCATTGTTAGGACGCTGTTCATTTTCATATTCGGGTAGATTTGCATGTTGCTAATTCTGCAGGCAGGTGTGATATTTACTGTTAAATATTGTCTCCCCCCACCCCTTTAAAAATGTGCCATTGTGTTGTGATAAGTCACTGTGTGTTTCTTGATATGGTTTGACTGTTTGTGATTTTATTGAGGTTTCACAACAATGTTATTGTGGTGACTGTATTGGCTGGTCCCAAGGGAATAAAGGTTTTGACAGTTCTTCTTGATCCCTCTAAATGTAGTTTTGTCTTGTTATTGGAGGGAGCTGTTATAATCACACTGGGGATTGCTATGCTCTGCATGCTCCCCTGAGCTTGAGTCACTTAGCTCTTTTAAGAGGTTGTTCCTGACACACTCTCCTTGGAGGAGCGGTCTTCACCACACAGTCCTGGATGCTGGATGGAAGGAAGAGGGTGGAAGGAAGAGGTCTTTCCCACACGGTCCTGGAGGACAGAAGCTGATCCAGGGTAGAAGGAAGATGGCGAGACTCCAGTCAAGCTACAGCAGTTGCGGAGTGTGCGGTGGTTGTGGTGTCTGCTGCAGTGCTTGGAGTCCTCAGGAAGCGCTAGGAGCATCCTTCAACAGAGGTACCCAGTCGGGGTGCCAGGTGATCCGTTACACCAGGTATTCCATTCAAGTTAGTGAGATGTCAGGTTAATGTTTAGGTAACCAGGTAATCCGTTAGTAATTTGATAATCGTGTTAGCGCTATGTAGGAGAAGCCCACAATCTTATAATGGGCGCTTCACAAATAATCTTATGAAGAAAAAATAATTATGACCACTTATTGCAATAAAGCAACTGTTGGTTGTAAATAAAACCTTACTGATATTCACAGTAGATATTGGTAGTATATAAGATCTTCTAAGAAGAGAATATACAAATGTCCCAGAGTCTTTTGGTATTGGAGGGGTTAATCCTGCCACACAGGTAGAATCCACTGGCTTAGGATACAATGTATACAGCAATGAGATGGTACCTTAAAAGGATACAAAGAAAATCCTCATAGTGCAACACAGTTTTATTTTCAAACATTAAAAAACCCTCTCCCCCAAAAGGGACCCCTACATAGACAAATGGTGGTACTTGTTTCCAAGATACCACAAACAAGCGTGGGTTTAAACGAGTGTGATGGATGTTACCGCCCGTCCTGCTGATATCCTTGGTCGAACTGAAGTCTCTCTGCCGTGTAGTCAACTACTTCTTTTGGAGAGACACCAAGTATCAGGGACGGTATCCGCGATCACTCTGTGTTCACCCTTCCACAACAGGAGCCGTTAGCACTTCAACGCATTTCGCCCTAATTTCGCGGCCACATACATTGGTCTTTTATATACTTACATCAGTCCAATTTTTAAAGTGCCAGATAATAATTAAAACATATAATACAACAAATTAAATCAAAGATCTCGTTTTCAGGAAAGGTGCTCATGAAAAAACGTTTTAACATAAAAACAAAATATATAAACGGAGTATTTGATATATATATAAACAGTGTCAGCAACATTATTCATATAAAAGACTTGACAACAATTTAATTAAAACGTTATTTCTATCAGTGTGTAAGTAGACTTGGCAATAAAAATAAAGATAAAAAAATGAATTGGAAGTAAAACTATAGAGGACCCTGTTTAACCCCTTAAGGACACACGACATGTGTGACATGTCACGATTCCCTTTTATTCCAGAAGTTTGGTCCTTAAGGGGTTAAACATGTCCATATGTATATAGAGAGAATTTTGATGTCTATGTATCCACATCATTCCTTGATATTCTCACAATGTAGGGCGATATATATTTTGTTAGCCCTGGGAATATGCAAACATGTATATACATATACACAGCTGTATGCCCCTGAATGTGCATACCTGTATACAACAAACTGAATACGTTTTAAAGTTTATCATATGGTATTGAGGTATCATTTCCATTTATCATAAGATGCCTGCCAGTTCGAACTCTGCATTCATCCCTGCAGGTATCAAAGTTTTAAGCTTAAAATCCATGACATTTCTCGATACAATAATCTTTTAACCAATTCTCCCCCTCTCCAGTAACCCTTTCAATCCTGCAGTAGTTCAAACTTCCTGGTTTGCTTGCATGGTGGTCTAAAAAATGCTTAGATACAGAATGTTTGTCAAAGCTATTTTTGATATTGAACACATATTCATTTAACCTCACTTTTAACGCTCTTTTGGTTTGCCCCACATATTGAATCCCAAATGGGCAACTTAGTAGGTAGATCATTTGTTTTGAATGGCATGTGATACATTCATTTATCTCAAATTTCTCCGTAGTGACAAAAGAATAAAAATTGGTGTAGCGGAGATGCAATATTCCCCAGGTTATCTCCGCTTATAATCCAAGTGAGGCTCAGGAACAAGTAAATTGTAAATCCACAGGCAAGGTTTCCAGTAGGTAAAATACAGCAATATCCCAACAGCAATCCCAATAACTGGACGACACACAGTTTCAGGAACAGAACTGAAAGCTTTTAATCCACAGTCTCCTTATAAAGCATGCTCCCATGCAATGGAGGGATTTACAGTAATTATTACAGTAGCCAATCCTGTCCTGGTAACCTCCCACACATCTCCTCCCCTCAGCCAGCATCATAATCCCCTTATCCAGTACAGTAATTCCCCCCGTTTCTGGATGTACCCCTAAACGTAGGGGTACCTCTTTAAATCCTACATCCCCGGATAGCCCTGATCTGGGTGAACAACATATCCAAAAATCACCCAGATCAGACCAGGGGTTCGGGAAATGTATGGAGGGAATAAAATGACCGACCGCACTAACTGAGACAGCCGAATGAGGTTCCATGCGAATGGGCCCTGCGGTCGGTCCTGGCATAAGGGAACAAAATACACGAAAGCCTCTAGCTATAGAGGCTTGGGAGGGTTCGCCTGAATCCCCTCGTTCGGTTCTTTCTATCTACCGAACGAGGGGCCGTTCGGTATTTAGGAACCGAACGGACCGGGCTTGTGGAGGTCTCAGCGGTGTTCGCCTACTCGAGTGTCCGATTTTAGTTCCAGACACTCGACGGCAAAACACCGCTGTTCAGGAGTTTTAAAATGGCCGCCGCCACGTGTTCGTTTGTCGAATGGCGGCCACCCCCGAGAACAAAGGACGGCTACTTACTAGTCAATTACCCATTCGCAACATTGTTGCAACGGGTAATTGAGGACACACTTCACACGGGAGGTCTGGTTGTTCGGTAGTTTCATTCGAATGAGCTAAGGGAATGAAACTACCGAACAATCAGAGGAATACAATTCTTTTAAAAAAAACATATAACATAGCAGATCACACGAATGCAGTTATGTACAATATATTTGCAGGACAGCCCGGTGCCATCCGCTACAATTGGAGGTTCTTTCATAAGGAGGACCACACTTAAGAAAGCCTTTCTGGGAGTTTAAAAAATGTGTCTCTGGTTTTGGTGGATTCAAACTATGCACCAGTTTAGTTTTGATCGTAGAGGCACCTCTGAAAACTATCAGATCCTGTTTCAGAAGATGCCAATGTTGATTTATACTTTTTTTGACAAATTTCGATTGGCTGCTATAATTAAAAGTAATTGGACAACTGAATGTATTTTCTTCTGAAGCTATGTTTTTGGATGGATTTAAAAGTAAATTTCTATCTAACGTGTGCACTCTTTAGCTGGAGTCTTCTAAGAGATCTAAATTGTACTCCTTTTCTACAAACTGCTGTTTTACTTTTTCTAATTGTTGTTCACACACCATAGGATCTGTACAATTTATTTGTATTCGTTGAAATTGCCCAAATGGTACATTGGTGAGCCATGGTGGGTAATGGTAACTAGAACTTAAAATAAAACTATTTACATGAACCATTTTAAAAAACGTTTTGGATTTCAGCATTTCTTTCTCCACATAAAAAACTAGATCTAAAAATTCAACGTGATTCCGATAGTGTTGGGATGTGAATGATAGATTAAAACTATTGTGCTTCATATGTGCTAAAACAATTTAGAAGTTCTTGCTCCTCCCCTTCCCATATGAAGAAGCAGTCGTCGATGTAACGTCAGTAGAGGACAAGGTTCGCAACCCAGGGATGTCCTGTCCATACAAAAAGGTCTTCCCAATAGGACATAAAAATGTTCACATAACTGGGTGCGAACCTAGTCCCCATAGCCGTGCCTGTCACCTGTAGGTAGACCTCATTGCTATGCCAGAAAAAATTATGACTAAGAATAAATAAGAATAAAACTTATACATTTAACTATGAATTCCACCTGTTCCATATGTAAATTGCGGTTTCTATATAAAATGTGTCTAATTGCTTTGAATCCCATAGAGTGTTGGATCACCGTATACAGTGATGTAACGTCACAGGTGACCAGCCAGTAATTTTCTTTCCAGGTTATGCCTTCCACTAGTTTCAGTAATTCACTACTGTCTCTTAAGTAAGATTTTGTACACTTGACAAAAAGTTGTAATAGTTTATCAATGTATTGAGGTGGATTTGAGGTTAATGATCCAATACCTGAGGTCATAGGTCTTCCTGGGGGTTATAATACATTTTTATGGATCTTGGGAAGAAAAAAAAGACCAGTTTTCTAGGATGTGGATTTAAAGAAGTGACCCAACATAGTCCCGAAACGCGTAAGGCTTTTACGGCAGGAGCCGCACACACGCATCCGTACAAAAACTCAGTGGAACGCAGATCGGGCAGTAAGTGGAACGCACGCGAAGGTTTCTACATCAACCCTCCCGGCATTTCAACTACCTTTACCTCCTGACCGGCTGGAGGAAAAGTGATTACAGCCTGCCCCGACTCTGCTTATCCCTAAGGACTCAATCTTTTTATTTTGAACTTCACCCAAATTGTGAGTTTGTTTTATTCCTATTTCAATAAATTTGGTATTTAAAAAAAAGATAAACACTATGGGTGTTTGCTGTCTTTGACAGATCCCAGATGGGACGATCCTGACACTATAGATCTGTTCCAATAGTGCTTTATAACTTTTGCTGCTTTATCAGAACGAACGTATCTGTTATCTACCATTGTGGTTATAACAGCTATTGATACATTGTGGCTATAAGCATCCTGTACCAGCTATTACATTGTCTGTATAGAATCTATGCTGCTTTTGGACTCCAGATTTCACAAGCTTACTGGACATTTTCTTCATTATTTGCTTCACTTTATAGACGGTCTTTGGACTCTCTAATTTTAGTTCAGTATTTTTATTCCTAGTTTTTATCATCGTTATCTATTTGCATTTATTTTTTTATTTTTCTGTTTTGTACTTTACAGTTTCCATTATATTTAACTGCGACTTATTATTGCTGCTATTCCAGATCCCATTCACCACTTAGTTAAACTAGCGCTCCACTACAGTTGCTTTCTCCTGTCCTCCTGTGTTTTGACCCAAAATCGGGAATCACCAAGGCACTCACCTGAATTAGCTCTATCTATTCCATCCACTTGTTAACGCAGCGATTAGACCCCGGTAGGTGAAACACCACTGATTGGGTACCACTTATGACCAGCAAGAGGTGCTTAGTCAAAAAATTGTCTAACCTTTAAATAATAATAACAAAATATATATAACATTTATAATAATACAATGTGAAGAAAAGAGTTTCCTGATATACATAATGCACTCTGTATAAAGCCCAGCGCAGGATCTATGGCCCCATTCTTCAGACTCAGTAGCCAGGACATGGTTTTTACAGATCTCACCATGTCCCCTCTTTAAGGCGGCACAAAGCTTTCACACAGGTTAAAACTTTATTTTCTCTTTTAGACTAAAGGGGAAGCCGGATGATAAACATTTTAACCATGTTAGAAACACAACTTCCAAAACAACAGGTAAGAACAGTGTCACCTCTGCCTCCTGTCCCCTCAGGGCAAACTGCCTCCTGCCCACTCAGGGCTATTGGTACACAGACTGCAGGGATAGATACACAGCTAGTGGTACACAGACTGAGGGGATAGATACACAGCTATTGGTACACAGACTGAGGGGATAGATACACAGCTATTGGTACACAGACTGAGGGGATAGATACACAGCTAGTGGTACACGGACTGAGGGGATAGATATAGATATACAGCTATTGGTACACGGACTGAGGGGATAGATATACAGCTATTGGTACACAGACTGAGGGGATAGATACATAGCTATTGGTCCACAGACTGAGGGGATAGATATACAGCTATTGGTACACAGACTGAGGGGATAGATAACACAGCTATTGGTACACAGACTGAGGGGATAGATACACAGCTATTGGTACACGGACTGAGGGGATAGATACACAGCTATTGGTACACAGACTGAGGGGATAGATATACAGCTATTGGTACACAGACTGAGGGGATAGATACACAGCTATTGGTCCACAGACTGAGGGGATAGATACACAGCTAGTGGTACACTAGATATACAGCTATTGGTATAGATACACAGCTATTGGTACACGGACTGAGGGGATAGATACACAGCAATTGGTAAACAGACTGAGGTGATAGATACACAGCTATTGGTATACAGACTGAGGGGATAGATACACAGACTGCGGGGATAGATACAGAGCTAGTGGTACACAGACTGCAGGGATAGATACACAGCTAGTGGTACACGGACTGAGGGGATAGATATACAGCTATTGGTACACAGACTGAGGGGATAGATATACAGCTATTGGTACACAGACTGAGGGGATAGATATACAGCTATTGGTACACAGACTGAGGGGATAGATACACAGCTATTGGTCCACAGACTGAGGGGATAGATACACAGCTATTGGTACACGGACTGAGGGGATAGATACACAGCTATTGGTAAACAGACTGAGGTGATAGATACACAGCTATTGGTACACAGACTGAGGGGATAGATACACAGACTGCGGGGATAGATACACAGCTAGTGGTACACAGACTGCAGGGATAGATACACAGCTAGTGGTACACGGACTGAGGGGATAGATACACAGCTAGTGGTACACAGACTGAGGGGATAGATACATAGCTATTGGTACACAGACTGAGGGGATAGATACACAGCTATTGGTACACAGACTGAGGGGATAGATACATAGCTATTGGTACACAGACTGAGGGGATAGATACACAGCTATTGGTAAACAGACTGAGGGGATAGATACATAGCTATTGGTACACAGACTGAGGGGATAGATACACAGCTATTGGTAAACAGACTGAGGTGATAGATACACAGCTATTGGTACACAGACTGAGGTGATAGATACACAGCTATTGGTACACAGACTGAGGGGATAGATACACAGCTATTGGTACACAGACTGAGGGGATAGATACACAGCTATTGGTACACGGACTGAGGGGATAGATATACAGCTATTGGTACACAGACTGAGGGGATAGATACATAGCTATTGGTACACAGACTGAGGGGATAGATACACAGCTATTGGTACACAGACTGAGGGGATAGATATCCAGCTATTGGTAAACAGACTGAGGTGATAGATACACAGCTATTGGTACACAGACTGAGGTGATAGATACACAGCTATTGGTACACAGACTGAGGGGATAGATACACAGCTATTGGTACACAGACTGAGGGGATAGATACACAGCTATTGGTACACGGACTGAGGGGATAGATATACAGCTATTGGTACACAGACTGAGGGGATAGATACACAGCTATTGGTACACAGACTGAGGGGATAGATACACAGCTATTGGTAAACAGACTGAGGGGATAGATATACAGCTATTGGTACACGGACTGAGGGGATAGATATACAGCTATTGGTACACAGACTGAGGGGATAGATATACAGCTATTGGTACACGGACTGAGGGGATAGATATACAGCTATTGGTACACAGACTGAGGGGATAGATACACAGCTATTGGTACACAGACTGAGGTGATAGATATACAGCTATTGGTACACAGACTGAGGGGATAGATACACAGCTATTGGTACACAGACTGAGGGGATAGATACACAGCTATTGGTACACAGACTGAGGGGATAGATACACAGCTATTGGTACACAGACTGAGGGGATAGATACACAGCTATTGGTACATGGACTGTTAGAAGTGGGTTACTAGATGGAGAACATGATCAATATTGTCTTTCTTTTGGCACCTTTTCCTTAGAGCTGGCCACTCATTGCACAGCGGACGGGTTCGGAGCAATAATGTTGGATGACAAAGGAGTGATGCATTTCTTCAGAGGTAAAAACATTGAACCGGTCAGATGCTATTTACTAAGCTCACATAAAATGGTGCCACCTGGCTGATATTTAAAACCACTTTATCTTTTACAGCATTTGATGTTCAAACTACCCCATATTCATTTATGTATAAAAGTAATAAAATAATGTATCCATACACAATTCAAGTGCAACAACATTTACATACACAAAAAAACACGTACATGCAAAAATAGTCTGTAAACATCGCACAGAATTCCTTAAACCAGGCTTCTTTAAGTAGTCTAGATCAAAGGATCACAGGACACCTGACACTCCCTCATGCATTCTGGGTTCAGCACTGACAGGGTAGAGTAGTTGTTCCCAACTGTTTTTGGGCCAGATGAGAATCCCAATTTTAATGTTAATACTAATACGTTCAGCCTTTTACTGACATTACTTCAGTGTGTTTGTGGCAAAGATTGAGGTGGCTTGATGCTCACCAATGATGGTGGGTTGGCATATCAGTGATGTATCTTAAGCCACTGGTGATACCCCAAACAGGTGCACCCATGCACTTTGGAAACACTCTCTGCATTGTCCCAGTACCCTCAACATAGCGTGTCTGTGTACTGCTCTCGGGGACACAGGGAGCAAAACTGGGACGGCAGGCTCAGGACAGAATCCTGAAATAGGGACTGTTCTGCATTTGAAAACCACTCATGGAAACTTTGGTCAGCTGAAATTTCTAATGAGATGTGTGTTCACCCAATTGATTCCAGGATTTCCAATGTGCCTTCACCCAGCAGGACCCTAGTTCGAAGGATGGAGAGTCTAGAAAGGATATCTTGAGTCACCAGTGTTTTTTTTCCTGATAGATGAATATGTTTGGACTGGATTTCACGGACTTGCACAGCTTATTAACGAGACTTGGGGTGGTCTGGATGGACCTGTGGATGCTGCATTCAGAGTTCACAGTAAGGAGCAACCATTGGCTCATCAAAGGATGTTCGTCTTTAAGGTAATAAGTCATACTCGCATATATATATGGCTCCGCCATCACTACCTCCCATAGCCTACCTACAGCCACCATATAGCCTACCTACGTACACCACATAGCCTACCTACAGCCACCACATAGCCTACCTACATGCACCACATAGCCTACCTACAGCCACCACATAGCCTGCCTACAGCCACCACATAGCCTTCCTACATACACCACATAGCCTACCTACAGCCACCACATAGCCTACCTATAGCCACCACATATCATACCTACAGCCACCACATAGCATACCTACATCCACCACATAACATACCTACATCCACCACACAACATATCTACATACACCACATAGCCTACCTACAGCCACCACATAGTCTACCTACATACACCACATAGCCTACCTACAGCTACCACATAACATAACATACCTGCAGCCACCACACAACATATCTACATACACCACATAGCCTACAGCCACCACATAGCCTACAGCCACCACATAGCCTACCTACAGCTACCACATAACATAACATACCTACAGCCACCACACAACATATCTACATACACCACATAGCCTAAAGCCACCACATAGCCTACAGCCACCACATAGCCTACAGCCACCACATAGCCTACCTACATACACCACATAGCCTACCTACAGCCACCACATAGCCTACCTATAGCCACCACATATCATACCTACAGCCACCACATAGCATACCTACAGCTACCACATAACATACCTACATCCACCACACAACATATCTACATACACCACATAGCCTACCTACAGCCACCACATAGTCTACCTACATACACCACATAGCCTACCTACATACACCACATAGCCTACCTACATACACCACATAGCCTACCTACAGCCACCACATAGCTACATACACCACATAGCCTACCTACAGCCACCACATAGCCTACCTACATACACCACATAGCCTGCCTACAGCCACCATATAGCCTACCTACAGCCTCCACACAGACCACCCACATACACCACATAGCCCACCCACAGCCAACACCACACATAGCCCACCCACATACACCACATAGCCCACCCACAGCCAACAACACACAGACCACCCACATACACCACATAGCCTACCTACAGCCACCACATAGCCTACCTACATACACCACATAGCCTACCTACAACCACCACATAGCCTACCTACATACACCACATAGCCTGCCTACAGCCACCATATAGCCTACCTACAGCCTCCACATAGCATACCTACAGCCATATACTAGTCCAGGGTGACCAGCATACCTACAGCTACCATATAGCCTACCTACATACACCACATAGCCTACCTATAGCCACCACATAGCCTACCTACAGCCACCACATAGCCTACCTACATACACCACATAGCCTACCTACAGCCACCACATAACATACCTACAGCCACCACATAACATACCTACAGCCACTACATAGCATACCTACAGCCACCACATAACATACCTACTGCCACCACATAACATACCTACATACCTGTGGAATTCTCTATACAAACACACAATATAAACACAAATTGATTGTAGGCATATCAAATGGTATTGAAATCTTCAGCACAGATGGACAGACATCTGGGAACAAAAATAAAGAAATAATAGCGCAAAACATATGATACCAGAAGAGCTGCACTTTAATATGACAAACACTTACAGGATCACTGTAGGATACAGGCACATCAGATTAAATAGATGTTCTTTCCACCCAGTTTAAGTCTTGGTCTTTCCTGTTGATCACCAGTCTTCAATCGGTTTAAGCACATAAATGTTTATTTACTCACATAAAACATCAAATAAATAAAAATAAAATTAAAAATAATAAAAATTCAAAAGTTCCCTTTAAATGTCTAAACCTACGCGTTTCATCCGGTATGGGTCCGAACTTTCTCAGGTGTAATAAGTTAGTCAAACTCCTATCACGGGAGCCATCCACTCTTCGTATGGCACTAAATCATTGATGGCTCATTAGCCACTCCCGTGGTCGCCATCAGCCAATCCACTGGGACCTGTCGTGGCTGTCATTCATTTCCTCATAATGTGCGTTCCAAGCCTCGATATCGTATATGCGACGTCCATTGCGTCTTATGTCATCCATGCCGTCGCTCCCCGGCTTGCGTTCCAATACGAGATGCGTTCCATTTATGGGAGCGTGTTTTAGCATCCATCCTACATGCTGTAGTAGTTTTCATTGAAAGTGCCACAAACAGAGGGTTTTAAAAGTCCTTTTGAGAGTCCAAATGTGCTCAAATAAAACATAAAGAACAACAATAGTAACATCAGGATAAATCACACCAAATATTTTCCAATACCAATAAAAAAATTATGTTAAAAAATAAACATTATCAATATGGACAATTTAAAAAAGAAGAAAAAGCAATTTCAGAAAAGATCCAATATATAAGGTCAAGGAGATTACCAGGATATCAGAACAATTAGAAAAATAAAACAGAAATATTTCTAAAAGTCACCTAAACGCATATTCTTGTGATGATTGCAAAATGATAAAAATTGAAAAAAATTCAAAGAAAACATACTAGATCGAAATCGACGTTCAGACCCCTAGGTTGCATAGTTCTTAACTTATGGATCCAGAAACCCTCTCTTTTTCTACGTTTCAGCATGAAGTCCTTTCATCCAGTTTCACTTGTTCTGTGGCTATAAAATTAAAGTTATTGTTGTAGTGGGGGCATTTGTTTCAATGTACAGGAATTGAGTGGGTTATCATTTTCTTGTGTATATTATTTCGGTGTTTCCTTCCCGCCCTCCCCACATATTGTGCACCACAACCACATGGGATAAGGACTGTTCTGCATTTGAAAACCACTCATGGAAACTTTGGTCAGCTGAAATTTCTAATGAGATGTGTGTTCACCCAATTGATTCCAGGATTTCCAATGTGCCTTCACCCAGCAGGACCCTAGTTCGAAGGATGGAGAGTCTAGAAAGGATATCTTGAGTCACCAGTGTTTTTTTTCCTGATAGATGAATATGTTTGGACTGGATTTTCATGTATGGAGGAACAGGAAACATAACTTTTAATCTTAAATACTTCTGAAGTTTGAGTGCACTTAAATTCTTTGTAAACTTTACATGAATAATCACAACTCTCGCACTTGCCACAAGTATAAAAACCTGTCTCCTTTTTCTCTTTAATTGCTTTTGTACGAAAAGTACTTGGGGCTAAACTATTCCCTTTTCTAAATCTGGTTATAGTGATATGAGGAAGTTTCATTTACAGGAATTCATCTTCTAAAAGCAGGGGCCAGTTTTTTTTTTTAAATCCGTTGAATGTCCAATGCTTTAAAATTATATTGCGTATTAAAAGCGAATCCTTACCCTGAGTCATTTATGACTGTTCTAGGTTGGAGAAAATCTTCCCAGTCTTTCTGTCCTATCCTTAAACTTTCTGCATCTAAAAACTCTTCTGATTATCCTTTAAAATCTAGATTTTAAAACATCTTCTTGTCTAAAAAAAATAATCCTTTATCAGTACAATTTCTCCGAATTCTAGTTTATTGACCTCTCGGAACTCCTGTAAGTCACTTAGGGTGATGCCCACTTTTGATGTCTATAAAGCTGTTGGTATCGGGGGTTTTTTTGTTTTTTTTTGGGAAGTTTTCGTTTTTTATGTGTGAGTCTTCTATATACAGGGAAAGATCCAAGAAGTCAATATGTTTTTTTCCAAAATTTGGAGTAAACCTCAAGGACAGGGTATTCTTATTAAAGGATGTTATAAATTTATAACCTTGCCAAATAATTAAAATGTTGTTAATGTATCGATTCCATAGCACCAAGTCCACACCATATAGATTGTTGTGCCATATTGTGGATCTTTCCCAACAGTCCATACAAATGTTGGCATAACTTGGTGCGAACTTGGTGCCCATTGTAATACCATTGACATGTAGATAAAAATCCCCATTAAAACAGAAAAAATATGAGTTAAAATCAAATTTATAGCTTCCAATAAAAATTCTCAAAATTTCCGTTAATTTGTATATCTGACTCTAAATTCAGGTTCACAGGTTCTATTCCCCTTTTGTGTTCAATAGTGGTATAAAGGGAAGTCACGTCCTTCCACTCAATTTCCTTCAATTCAAGTATAAGGTGCTTGGTATCTTTAAGATAAGAATCTGCTCTTTGTGCGTACTTCTGAAGAAAATAATGTATGTATCTATCCGAGAGTTTTGAAGAAAGGGAATCTATATCACTTGCTATGGGTCTGCGGCTGCCTGGTGGTTTTCCTTTAGATTTATGAACTTTTGGCAGAAAATAAAAGGTGGGTATTCTTGGGGATTCTAAAAACATTAAGGAGGAGACATTATCTGCAATTATTCCTTCCCTTTTTTTCCCCCTCGAGGGATTCTTTTAGTTCTTTGTTAAACTGTAAATTAGAATCTGTTTTTTTAATTTGTATTATGTTTCCATACAATACAAAAAAGACAAGACAGATTAAAACTGGACAACGGTATAGAGAGAAATACACATTCACATGGCTATTTATTATACTTCAGGGGATCAAGTTATTACATATGTCTCTTTTTTCCTCTCTATTTCCCTTTTCCCTCCTCCTATCCTTCTTCAGAGCCCATTTACTTCCTCTTTTCCTTTGAGAATGTTTCCATCTCTTTAGGAAGAGAAAAAAAAAAGAAAAGACAAGACACACAGTCAGGGCCAAGAGGTTCTTACTTAAAAGAGAGAAAAACATAATAAATGATTTATGCTTTTAGGGGTATAGAATATGGCTGATGTAGTATATAATCTCTGCTTATTTCTTACTGTTATCCTCCTTCCCGTCTCCTTGTTCTCATCTTAGACCATGATGATAGTGCTATGGAGATTGTACTAACCCACCTTATCTCACATCGTTCTACATTAATATGGCTCTTGGTATTTAGCCGTCTTTCTCATAGAGAAGGACAATGACTGGAAATATTCTACATCTATTCTGCATGGTTTAGACCAGTTCTCAAGCTGACCGACCGAAGGGCAGGCTATTTCAGCTGCTGCCCGTCCTCAGTATTCTCTTGCGACCCATTTTTTGCTCTCCATTAGTTTAAAGGGATAATCCAGACGTGGACCCCTTGCTCTCAGTGCCTAGGGAGATATCAGCTATGCCTCACTGATGATGCCTAACAAGGCTGAAACGATCGTCTGGGGTTGCTGTATCTCTCATGCAGAGAGAACTTGCTGGCATTTCGGATCTGGACTGCCCGTATGGGTGGGACCAGTCTGATATGCTTCAGATATGTTCTCTGTAATGGCACAAGATGAGCAAAAATCAGCTTGAGAACTGAGCGGGGACCGACCGAAGGGCAGGCTATTTCAGCTGCTGCCCGTTCTCAGTATTCTCTTGCGACCCATTTTTGACTCTCTACAAGTTTAAAGGGATAATCCAGACGTGGACCCCTTGCTCACGGTGCCTAGGGAGATATCAGCTATGCCTCACTGATGATGCCTAACAAGGCTGAAACGATGGTCTGGGGTTGCTGTATCTCTCGTGCAGAGAGAACTTGCTGGCATTTCGGATCTGGACTGCCCGTATGGGTGGGACCAGTCTGATATGCTTCAGATATGTTCTCTCTGTAATGGCACAAGATGAGCAAAAATCAGCTTGAGAACTGAGCTGGGACCGACCGAAGGGTAGGCTATTTCAGCTGCTGCCCGTCCTCAGTATTCTCTTGCGACTCATTTTTGACATACCCTACATATAGCCACCGTGCTACATACCCTACATATAGACACTGTGCTACATACATTACATATAGCCACCGTGCTACATACACTACATATTGTCACTGTGCTACATACACTACATATAGCCACCGTGCTACATACACTACATATAGACACTGTGCTACATACACTACATATAGCCTCTGTGCTACCTACACTACATATAGTCACTGTGCTACATACACTACATATAGCCACCGTGCTACATACACTACATATAGCCACCGTGCTACATACCCTACATATAGACACTGTGCTACATACACTACAAATTGCCTCTGTAATACATACACTACATATTGTCACTGTGCTACATACACTACATATAGCCACCGTGCTACATACCCTACATATAGCTACCGTGCTACATACACTACATATAGCCACCGTGCTACATACCCTACAGATAGATACTGTGCTACATACACTACATATAGCCTCTGTGCTACATACACTACCTATAGTCACTGTACTACATACACTACATATAGTCACTGTGCTACATACACTACATATAGCCTCCATGCTACATACACTACATAGCCTCCATGCTACATACACTACATGTAGCTACCGTGCTACATACACTACATATAGTCACTGTGCTACATACACTACATATAGTCACTGTGCTACATACACTACATATATAGCTACCCCAAGGGTTAGCATACACTCAAGCATATAGCTACTGCAAGCACATACACTGGCATATAGCCACCGTTACATACACTCATATATATAGACACTGAAGCATACACTGCTACATATAAAGGTCAAGGCTACATACACTACATATAAAGCTGGGCCTCATGTTACATACCCTACATATAGACACTGTGCTACATACACTACATATAGCTACCGTGCTACATACACTACATATAGCTACCGTGCTACATACCCTACATATAGACACTGTGCTACATACACTACATATAGCTACCGTGCTTCATACACTACATATAGTCACCGTGCTACATACACTACATATAGCCACCGTGCTACATACACTACATATAGACACTGTGCTATATACACTACATATAGTCACTGTGCTACATACACTACATATAGCCACTCTGCTACATACACTACATATTGTCACTGTGCTACATACACTACATATAGCCTCTGTGCTACATACACTACCTATAGTCACTGTACTACATACATTACATATAGCCACCGTGCTACATACCCTACATATAGTCACTGTGCTACATACACTACATATAGCTATCGTGCTACATACACTACATATAGCCACCGTGCTACATACACTACATATAGTCACTGTGCTACATACACTACATATAGCCACTGTGCTACATACACTACATATAGCCACCGTGCTACATACACTACATATAGTCACTGTGCTACATACACTACATATAGCCACTGTGCCACATACACTACATTTAGCCACCTTGCTACATACACTACATTTAGCCACCGTGCTACATACCCTACATATAGACACTGTGCTACATACACTACATATAGCTACCGTGCTACATACACAACATATAGCTACCGTGCTACATACCCTACATATAGACACTGTGCTACATACACTACATATAGCCACTGTGCTACATACACTACATATAGCCACCGTGCTACATACACTACATATAGCCACCGTGCTACATACACTACATATAGTCACCGTGCTACATACACTACATATAGCCACCGTGCCACATACACTACATTTAGCCACCGTGCTACATACACTACATTTAGCCACCGTGCTACATACCCTACATATAGACACTGTGCTACATACACTACATATAGCTACCGTGCTACATACACAACATATAGCTACCGTGCTACATACCCTACATATAGTCACTGTGCTACATACACTACATATAGCCTCCATGCTACATACACTACATATAGCTACCGTGCTACATACACTACATATAGTCACTGTGCTATATACACTACATATAGTCACTGTGCTACATACACTACATATAGCCACCGTGCTACATACACTACATATAGCTACCGTGCTACATACACTACATATAGCCACCGTGCTACATACACTACATATAGCCACCGTGCTACATACACTACATATAGTCACTGTGCTACATACACTACATATAGCCACTCTGCTACATACACTACATAATGTCACTGTGCTACATACACTACATATAGCCTCTGTGCTACATACACTACCTATAGTCACTGTACTACATACACTACATATAGCCACCGTGCTACATACCCTACATATAGACACTGTGCTACATACACTACATATAGCTACCGTGCTACATACACTACATATAGCTACCGTGCTACATACCCTACATATAGACACTGTGCTACATACACTACATATAGCTACCGTGCTACATACCCTACATATAGACACTGTGCTACATACACTACATACACTACATATAGCCACTCTGCTACATACACTACATATAGACACTGTGCTATATACACTACATATAGTCACTGTGCTACATACACTACATATAGCCACTCTGCTACATACACTACATATTGTCACTGTGCTACATACACTACATATAGCCTCTGTGCTACATACACTACCTATAGTCACTGTACTACATACACTACATATAGCCACCGTGCTACATACCCTACATATAGACACTGTGCTACATACACTACATATAGCTACCGTGCTACATACACTACATATAGCTACCGTGCTACATACCCTACATATAGACACTGTGCTACATACACTACATATAGCTACCGTGCTACATACACTACATATAGTCACCGTGCTACATACACTACATATAGCCACCGTGCTACATACACTACATATAGCCACTGTGCTATATACACTACATATAGTCACTGTGCTACATACACTACATATAGCCACTCTGCTACATACACTACATATTGTCACTGTGCTACATACACTACATATAGCCTCTGTGCTACATACACTACCTATAGTCACTGTACTACATACATTACATATAGCCACCGTGCTACATACCCTACATATAGTCACTGTGCTACATACACTACATATAGCTATCGTGCTACATACACTACATATAGCCACCGTGCTACATACACTACATATAGTCACTGTGCTACATACACTACATATAGCCACCGTGCCACATACACTACATTTAGCCACCGTGCTACATACACTACATTTAGCCACCGTGCTACATACCCTACATATAGACACTGTGCTACATACACTACATATAGCTACCGTGCTACATACACAAGATATAGCTACCGTGCTACATACCCTACATATAGACACTGTGCTACATACACTACATATAGCTACCGTGCTACATACACTACATATAGTCACCGTGCTACATACACTACATATAGCCACCGTGCTACATACACTACATATAGACACTGTGCTACATACACTACATATAGTCACTGTGCTACATACCCTACATATAGACACTGTGCTACATACACTACATATAGCTACCGTGCTACATACCCTACATATAGACACTGTGCTACATACACTACATATAGACACTGTGCTACATACACTACATATAGCCACCGTGCTACATACACTACATATAGTCACCGTGCTACATACACTACATATAGACACTGTGCTACATACACTACATATAGTCACTGTGCTACATACACTACATATAGCCTCTGTGCTACATACACTACATATAGCCACCGTGCTACATACACTACATATAGTCACTGTGCTACATACACTACATATAGCCACTGTGCTACATACACTACATATAGACACTGTGCTACGCCGCAACAAGCAGAATGCTATACAGCTACATGGCACCATAACTACTACAACACGCACATAGTGCTATACAGCTACAGCACTACACCTACGTTAATGTTTTCGGCTACACTCCTACACCCACCAAGGCTGTATGGTAGTTAAAGGACATCGGCAGCCAACAAACAGAGCAACACTGCTGCAAGTCACAATGTAACAATTTACTGGTAAACACAATACAACATGTGATATAACACCCCTTCATGTGTATTATACACAGATATCTTTTCTAATTATTGTGTGAAAAGTATTTCCAACTCTACCGGTCTCACTGTCTCATCGCACCCATTATTCTCTAAACCAAAATGCTCCTTTCAGGGCAGCCAGGTATGGAGCTTCTTTGAAGGACTCTTAGTGCCCGGTTTCCCCCGTAACATCAGCCTGGAGTTCCCTGGGGTACCAGACAATCTCGATGCCGCTGTGGAGTGCCACTTAGGGGAGTGCAAGACAGAAAGTGTTATATTCTTCAAAGGTGAGTGTGTCCTGATTGTGAGAGAGGCGTCTCACCCTGGTTACTGTCAGGGTTTAGCAGGGAAGAGCGCTGTTCTAGTGTTATTTATATAGCGCCAACATCTTCCGCAGCGCAGCAAGTAGGAAGCTACATGAAGAGATAAACACAATACACAACAAGGTAAACAGGAAAACAAGTATATTTACTGCGAGGGCACAAATACAAAACAGAGGAACTCAGAATACAAAGTTAGTTATGGGATAAAGGCAGTCAGGGGTTCAGGATACAGGGAGTACCAACAAAACCAAACAGCAACTAGACTATTAGGGAGAAAACAATTACAAGGTATGGCCAGCTGGGGGCAGTCAGATCCTTTCACTCTACGCACAGCAGCCTGCAACAGCACCACAGCAGGTTAGTGGCAGTGTGAGGTACTGCACCAGACTTCTATGATCCCAAATCTAAGGGGTTTATATGACTCTAACAGGTTTATCCAAGGTGCATTTCAAATTCAGCTATTTTGGCCTCAAATTTGAGATTCGCTGTGAATTCACTTAGAATTTCACTTTCCTTTCAATTTTTACACTCTCCTTTCTTTTCCAGATGATACAGTGTATATATACAGCCCTCGGGAAGTCCCTGCAGTAAAGATACGGCACTGGACAGCTCTGGGCCCGTGTTCGGCTGCTGTCCGTTGGATGGAGAAGTATTTCTGTTTCAAAGGTGTAAATTTTACCCGGTTTAACCCTGTGACTGGAGAGGTTCTGTCACCAAAGCTCTTGGACACCAGAGACTACTTTGTGAGATGTCCTGGACGAGGTGAGCTGTGAGGGGTCTTTGGTAGACGGGGACGGTTGGGACCTCCAATCCTTCCCACTGGAATTTTTATAAACCTGTAAGCAATATGTAACTTTCATTTTTCATTTAGAAAATATATTTTTTTTTGCAGGAATTCCAGTTCCTATTCATCCTAGGGTGGACTTGTTTCCAATGTGTAATAGAATAAAGTGTTTAGCAGGAGGTTGCACCCTTACCTGTGCCCCCGCCAGGCTCCGATGCTTCCTGGTGGTCTGGGGGGTGGTGACGGAACTCAGCAGAAGCCATATGCCATGGTTCTCAACATTCATTGGCTGAGAGAGTCAGTAGATCGCTGTCAGGCAATGACTGTCATTCTGTGTAACAAAGGTAACACAGCATTGAGTTCTGCTGGAGGGGTTCAGGGCTGGACTGGGGATACAAAGCAGCCCTGTAAAAAAGTCATTGTGCTATGTATTGTGTATATATATAGATCAATCATCTGGGGTGGCAGGACATAGCCTTACATGTTATTGGTTAATATATGTATATATATATTTCTAATATAAAATATTGGTCCTTTTAGAGTAAAACATTTAATTATACAGTAAGCATAGTCGCATGCAGACACAGACAATCTCACTGACACACACAAGCTCACTGATACACAGCCTCATAGACAAACAATCTCACTAACATAAATAAGCTCATTGACATAAAAACACAAGCTCACGGATGCACACAAATAGGCTCACTGACAAGCTTATTGGTACACACACAAACATAGTACAGACAAACTCTGACACGCACAAAGCTTATTACAGACAAGCTCACTGTCACACACATACATACTCACTGACACATACACACTCACTAGCAGACACACACACAAGCTCACTCACTAGCAGACACACACACACACACAAGCTCATTCACTAGCAGGCACACACACACAACACTGTCATGGCTGAAGCTTACATGGCACTGGTAGGTGAAGTTGCCATTTTGTGGCCTCTTCCTTCCAGCGAGGTCAGCAACTTGCGTGGGGGCAGGATTGTGTGCGGGAGGCAGAGCTATGTACAGGAGGCCGGGCTTACATGCAGGAGCAGGGCATGCAGTCGGAATTGATGTACATTGTGAAGGGAGACTGAAAGCTCCTCCTTCTTTACTCCCCACGGACTGACATAGGCTGAAACAGGGGAAAATCATTTAAATTACATTAGCCTGATGATGACATTAGCCTGATGATTATCCCCAGTAGGCCAGTCCAGCCCTGGAGGGGATAATCTCTGTATGGCTAGAGTATCCCTTGAAATTGTCAAGTTATATAGTATATATGTATCTGGTCAAGCACAAAATCCCAGTTTAATACAATGTATACAATCATAGCGTGGACTACACATGCTCATGGGGAGACTTGATTACTGGAAAGTGGTGACAACTTATCAGAGGCCAAGATCACATATGGTATTAAGGCCTGACATTGGTCATTTCATATACTGAGGGAACCTGACAGGATAGTTCACACATGGTGTCTCGGCCTGACATACGTTGCTTCATATCCTGAGGGAACTCTGCGGGACAGATCACACATGGTATCTAGGCCTAACATTGATCATTACATATCCTGAGGAAACCTGGCAGAACAGATCAAACATGGTGTCTAGGCATGACATTGGTCATTTCATATCCTGAGGGAACCCAGCAGGATAGTTCACACATGGTGTCTCGGCAGGACTTACGTTGCTTCATATCCTGAGGGAACTTGGCAGGACAGATCACACATGGTATCTAGGCCTGACATTGGTCATTTCATATCCTGAGGGAACCCGGCAGGATAGATTAAACTGGTCCTGAGGGAACCCAGCAGGAAAGATGACACATGGTCTCTGTGCCTGATATTGGTCATTTCAGATCCTGAGGGAACCTGGCAGGAAAGATAACACATGGTCTCTGTGCCTGATATTGGTCATTTCAGATCCTGAGGGAACCTGGCAGGAAAGATAACACATGATAGCTAGGCTTTGTCACGGAGTGTTAACCCTAACAAGCAGAGTTTAGGATAGCAAGGAACAGACAAAAGGAATATAAACATCTTAGAGTGGCCGGACTTAACATTAGTCAAAATACGAGCCGAAGTCAGGGTAAAGGAGAGAGAGCAAAAACGAGAACTAGCCAGAGTCAGGTACACGGTAATAATCAGAAGAGCAAACAAGACAGGCAAGGGTAAAAGAGAAACTCAAAGTCAAGAAACAAAGCCAAGGTCAATACCAGAATACAATACAAATCACTAGGAACGCATTAAAGGGTACTGGGAACAGTATCTAGAGCCTGGCAAGTTTATATACCTTTATTTTTAATTTGATTGGTCCACGTCATGCCTGCTCCCCAAAACGTGCGTGAATGGGGTCGCCTGAAATACGTGGTCAAATGAGAGCCGACCGCAAGGTTAGGCTCCCATTTCCCCTTTAAGAAAGTGCTCGCAATGCGAGCAGTGTTCCCAATACTGTACGGGCCACGAGTCCGAACAGAGTGTTTTGCGTGTGAGGCCCACCAGCAAAGAGCTTCTGAGCCACACACGGCTCGCCTGGAGGCAGGAGTAATCAAGCTGCGTGTGGCTCGATCAGAGGACTCCTGCCGGCTTGCGCGCCAGGTAAGTACTGTTATAGGCTTGATGTAAATCATTTTATATCCTAAGGTATTTAAGGGGAAAATATATTTTTTGCTACCAATATTAATAGAAATGAAAATGATGATGAATGAGCAAGAATGATGAGTATATACAGATGAGATCAGGAAAATAGTACACATATGGAATGGGAAACTGCTTAATCTCACACCCAACATGAAATATTTTAAACAGTCTCTCTTTGTTCCTGTATCTCTCAGGTCATGGAAGTAAACAGAATTACTCACATTCGTCTATTATAAACCGATGCAGTGGGCAGTCCTTTGAGGCATTCACATCAGATGACAAAGGCAGGACCTACGCATTTCGAGGTAAGCAAAAATGAATGAGGTGGTCTATATTTGAAGATCTGGTCTGGTCTGTGATCACACTGAATGAATGGGAAGACTGTTTGTAATCAATTACAGAAACAGCATCTGTAGTTTTTATGAGGCCAAGAATTCTCCAGAACCTGGACGCCCTATTCTTACTAAATTTTATGTTTACTGTAAGCAGGCAGTGTTTTCAATCAATGAGTGTGAATGGATGATTATTATCATACAGTCAATGAGAGAAAAGCTTGTATGTGAGTGTGACCTGCTGATTAATATGTTCGTACCAAGTGAGTGAATGAATAAGGTCCTCCTACTCAGTGAGTGGGAGAGAAACATATACCTATCATAGATGTTTTAAGTTGGTGAATAATGTAAATGAAGAAGGCATTACTATTCCTATCAAGTGAGTGTGAAGGAATGAGCAACATTCTCCTTTCCAGCGAGTTTGAATTGGTGAATAGCATACTCCTATCTTGTAAGTGTAAATGAAGAAAGAATGAATGAATGAATGACTACATTCATTGGCAGTGTGTATGAGTGGATAGTTCACTTCTAACTGATATGTGTGACTCGTGTGTGAATGGATGAATAATAGCTTGAGTGGATGAATGAAATACTACAATACATCCATCTATTCCTTGCCTGTGAGATCATTCTTAATCCAAGGTTGATGGGTGAATGAGATAAAACATTCCCATGGGTGTGTGAAAGATACATTGCAATCATTCAATGTGAGTACTCCTGCTTGTTGAGTGTGAGTGAAGAGTAGTCTGTTAGTGCCTGTGGAGACTGTAAAAATCCCTGTACCTTGCCCATCTTTTCAGGGGGCTGGTATATCCGTGTGGACAGCGTTAAAGATGGCTGGCATGCATGGCCTCTCAACCACACATGGAGGACACTACATGGCCAGGTGGATGCCGTCTTTAACTGGGAGAACAGGATGTACTTTATCCAGGTACTGAAGCTGCATGGGATTTGTAAGGAGGGTCAGGGTTAGGCAGAGCTGGTTTAATACTGCCCAAGGCCCAAACTGAGACCCCCTCACAGAGCCCTGGGCTCTGTTCTATGAATGATGGTGGCTGAGTGTCATGTGTGTGGTGTCTGAGTGTTGTGTATGTTGGGAAAAGGCTGACTACTGTCTGAGCCTGGACATTAGATGAATGCCTGGACTCGAGTTTTCTAATCAAGATCCAGTGGTCCTCATCTTAGAGTAGTATCCTCCAAATTGCTGCTGAACCAAGACAGGAATACATCCAGGAAGCTTCTGAGAGAAAAATCCTCAACCACTGCATTTAGATCAGGTTCCCTAGTTTCCCCAAAAGCTGTGTCTGTTTGCACATGGCTTGCCCCTTACAGAAGATCCCAGTGTCTACTGATGTTCCAAAGAGTTCAGTTTGAGGGTACAGGATCCCTGGGGCTACAGGAGCTCAGTCTGTGGGTAATGGAGCCTAGGGGATCCTAGAGCTCAATCTGGGGGTAATTGAGCAGAGTCTAGGGGATCCTGCTCTAGGGATACAGAAGCTCAATCTGGGGGTAATGGAGCAGAGTCTAGGGGTCTAGGGATACAGAAGCTCAATCTGGGGGTAATGGAGCAGCTTACGGGTGAATAGTGGGATGTTATAAGAGCACGGTTTATGGTACATGCGCTCCATTTTGCAGTGTAGGAGGTGCTGACAGGTGCAGAGTGGCAGAGAGCACAGTCTGGGACTACAGGAGCTCTGTGAGGAGTCCAAGAGTTGTTTACTGCTGGTTAGTGAGCTTAGTCTGTTTGTTCAGGATTTGGACTCCAGATGCAGGAGCCCATCTTGGTGGTAGATTCAGGGTTCATTTACTTTATCAGCCTGTATACCTTCTTTTATCTCAGGGATCCAAGGTCATTACTTACGTAACTGATCAATTATATATCCCCGTTCTGGGGTATCCCAAGTCTGTGCATGAAGAGTTGGGCGTGACCGGAATAGATGCAGCCTTTACCTGTCCATCATCCAGTAAGCTGTACGTTATTAAAGGTAAGTGTGGCAAAAATTACATTTGGTAGAAAATTCTGGATGTTTTGCAATCTTCATGTAATTAGCCTCTCTGCCTACAGTACAACAGTGCATAGGTCAGCTGAAGAGACAGTGACTGAGATGGGACCTTGCTTGGATCCCAGGTAGCAAGGACAAAGAAGGTGCACAGCATCGAACTTGTACCATTATTGGACATATGAAGCAATCCCCCTACAGGCAGGTCTGGGACAGGTTTGCAGGTGGGAGCAAGGAAAGGGTTGCATTACGAGCCATACTTTAATGCTCCAGCAGAGGGTGCCATATGTATATGAAAGCTGGCATGAGGATAGAGGAGAGACAAGTGCTGGCATTAACATATCAAAGAGGGCAGACAAGAAACAGGTACAGGAATAATCTGACTGTAACGGAATGAAAATCACTAACATGCACCCAGCAAAATGGATTAATCATGGAATAGGTTTTATGTAGCAGGCATTATAATGAATGCCTTGTGCTGTATAAGAGTATATTTCTCTATTGAAAAACGTGTGTTGTCTGTTTGTGTAGAACAAAAAAAGCAAGGGTGGAACAGCGCTACAATAAGTGATCACAAGGGGGCTGCACACCTGAATAAGAAGGTAATCCTCAAAACCTTCAAGGATTAATCGAACAAGTAGAACAAAGGAGACAGGTAGCGCCAAAATAAATACAATATTGTGGTAAGGATTCAAAAAAAGGTACCAATCATCTTATTCAACATTTGAAGACTTTTAAAACCTCAAAAGGACATTTTTATCTTTTACTTGGTACCTTTTTTTGACTACTTACCACAATATTGTATTTATTTTGGCGCTACCTGTATCCTTTGTCTGTTTGTGTGTTGTCTGTTTTTGTATGTCCCTCGATAACCAGATATTAGGATTCCTGACTGCAGATGTAGATAAGGAATAGAACAAAGTATTATTAGACTTTAGAGTGATTGGGTTTAACAAAGATACCGCAATCTGACTAAAACCACAAACAGACGGGATTCCAGAGGATGGGTATGTCAGACTAGCCAAAGTTAGGACAGGCAGCAAACTAGGTCAAAAACAATCATGGTCAGGCAAACAGTATAACAGCAACAATAATAAGGATCACCAATACAGGATTAGGTTTTAAATAGGCTTAGGTCTAGTGCATCAAATGACACATAAAGATGCGACTATCCACATCAAAAGTAGATGCTGGAAACCATTTCCGAGTCAAGAAAAGGATGTGAGGCGCCAAATGCATCAAGTAAAAGGCATTGAGTATCGAGCATCCACTGTCAGACATTCTGATGGCGCAAGCGTGGATGTGTGGCATTTCTTAGAGTCCCAGCCTAGCATGGACCCCTGTATATCATCTTTTTGTCTACACAGGTAACACTTTGACCATGGTGGACCTCGTGCAGAGCCCCCGAGTTGCCAGAGACAATAAGACCATTGCTATCAGTCAGGTGGACAGTGCCATGTGCAATGAACATGGGATCTACCTTTTCCAGGGCCCTCACTATTACTGGTACAAGGATGTGGCAGAACTGGAAGCTGCTACAGAACTCCCCAAAATTGGCATCGTCACCACTCAGTTTTTTGACTGTTAGAAGCAAACTGTGTATGGAGAGGGACTTTCTATGATTGTTCCAGTAATGATGAGGATGTGTCATTCTGTCCTAATGTTATTTGCTAATTTGTATTATAGTAAGATATGTTCTAAGCTCGTTGTGGTCATTCTGGATTTATTTACTTTATCGTTTACTTGCTCTCATTTTGTAATTCATTCACACTGTGTCCCTCAATCTTTTACCGAATTGATCTACTAATAAACATGGAATGGAAATCCTGATCTTGTTATAGCGTTTATGGTGGTAGTGGTAAAACACAAACATTATGGCTGTGGAAGACATTCTCTGCCTGACGCTTTACACCTGATAACGGTTCTTCTAAATTTATCTTGATAAAGTGTATAAACGGTGTATGCAGTAAATAATACAATTATAAACAGACTGAACTGACTCTTCCAATTCAAAATACTAATGTGAATCTACATGAAGGATGTGTCTTTTGCACATAAATTCATATTGTGCAGTTCTTTTGTGAGTGGCTGTCTTTGTTTATAAATTATTTAGTTATTTGCATTAAATACTACACTGTAAGTGTCCATTTTCTCTCTCTTTTATTGATATGCTGCTAAACCAAAATGGTAAGTGGTTGTAATAAATGATAAGGTAAATAAACACCATCGTATAGTGCTTGCCCTTTTTATTGTGCAAACTACACTCTTTATGATACCCCAACTCTTCCCAAATAATCCTTTTATCTCCAAATGTTTGTATTCAAGACAGAAACAGGTGGACACAAAAACAGTCAATGGTAAGAAAATACACAATGAACAATGTGGTTGTGCAAGCTCTATGTCTTGTGATAGAGTAAATGGTGTTGTATGTGAGGGTGTTTATTTCACTGCTAATTTCCTCAGAGAGGCATATGATATTTAGCCCCAGGGGGAGTATGAGTTGTAGGTGTTGTATGCAACACAAACTAGAGTTTAGTTATGGACGCCTGGGGTGGAGCATTCTCAGAGTAGGGCGGGCTGGTGCTCCACTCCTAAGTTTATACACAACTGGGAGAAATCAGGTCCAGGCCAGAGTTTTTGGAACTGTCTCCAACCCACTGCTCAGCTGCAGATAATCAGCTGTAGCAGTGGGAATAAACCCCTACCTGCTCGGCAGGTAAAAGGGAGATTTTTTGGTTCTCTCTCTGAATGGTTGGAAGTGGCAGGCTAGCTGAGAGCACTGGAGTGCAGAAAGGAGAGCAGAGGGTTGTTAGTTTAACTCATGATAGAGAGGGATATTAAAAGTTAGTCAGTGCTCAGACAAGCTAGGTTTTTGTTTAAATTTATTTATGTTTTTTTATTTGTGTTGCTGTCCCCTGTGTGGACTTACCAATAAAGTGCCTGGATTATGTGAAAATAAAAGGACTGTGCCTGTTGTTTACCCTAGAGGACAGTGGCATACACACAACCCATGGGGCCCCGGTGCGAAAACTGATCCGTCGCCCCCTCCCCCCGTTCCCGTGCAGAGTACTTACTCTCCACGGGCCGGGGCCGCAACACATGGCGGTAATGCTTTCCTATGGGCGGTTTGACTGCGCATGCAGCTCTTGCCGCGCATGCGCATTCGGAGCTAAGAGGCGGATCGGGGCAGAGAGATCCCCAGCGCCAAGGGAGTCCGGCGCTGGAGAAAGGTAAGTGCTGAAGACACACACACACACTCACGAACAGATGCATACACACTAGCTAACAGACACACACATTTACTGACAGACACACACTCAGTGACAGACATACATACACACTCACTAACATACACCAAACAGACTCACTAACAGACACTCTAACACTAACACACACATACACACACTCTAACACACACACACTAACACACACTCTCTAACACTAACACACACACACTCTAACACACACACACTCTAACACTAACACACACACCAACACACACACACTAACACACACACTAACACACACACACTAACACACACACACTCTAACAATAACACTAACACACACACTCTAACACTAACACACACACTAACACACACATTAACACACACGGTTTAAAAAAAATTTAATCCCCCCAGCCTCCCTACCTTTGGGAGTGCTGAGGGGGTTCCCTGGGGTCCAGTGGTGTCACCAGGCGGGCGGGCAGGCTGGCGGGCGCGCGAGGGAGCATTCTCCCCTGAGTGCTTCCTCTTCAGCTCCCTCGCGCGCACCGCACTGATGCAGGAGCCGGAAGATGACTTCATCTTCTGTCTCCGGTATCAGTGCGGTGTGCAAGGGAGCTGAAGAGGAAGCACTCAGGGGAGAGTGCTCCCTCATGCACCCGCCAGCCTGACTGCCCGCCGGGTGACACCAGGACCAGCCTCGGGGGGGCCCTGAGGTGGCCAGCCCCTGGGCCCCCAGGAGAAGAGGCTGGCCACAGTGGGTACATACCAGGTCACAGGGCGGCCGGGCCCGCGACCCCGGTATGTATGCCACTGCTAGAGGACCATGCTGTCTGCAAATAAGGATCACAGACTGGACAAAATGTAACCCTCAAATATTGTATCTAATAAGGTACTCGGTATTCCATACACATAAAAGGGAAAACGATTAAATGCAATCTATCGTGTAATATGTTAAACAATATCAAAAGAGAAAAACCCAATTTATTTAGACTGGAGCTGTTGTGTGCACAGTCGGCCAATATTATGACTTCCATGGAAATCCCGAACCCCTGAACCGATCTGGGTGATTTTTGATATGTTGGTCCCCCAGATCGGGGCTATCAGGGGGTATGACTTTTGTGGGGTTTCCATGTGTTTTGGGGGTACTTTTGGGTAATTGTAAAATATATTGGATTTACCAGGAAAGGTTAAAGGATCTTAACATGTATAGCTTGGAGGAAAGACGAGACAGGGGGGATATGATAGAAACATTTAAATATATAAAGGGAATCAACACAGTAAAGGAGGAGACTATATTTAAAAGAAGAAAAACTACCACAACAAGAGGACATAGTCTTAAATTAGAGGGACAAAGGTTTAAAAATAATATCAGAAAGTATTACTTTACTGAGAGGGTAGTGGATGCATGGAATAGCCTTCCAACTGAAGTGGTAGAGGTTAACACAGTAAAGGAGTTTAAGCATGCGTGGGATAGGCATAAGGCTATCCTAACTATAAGATAAGGCCAGGGACCAATGAAAGTATTTAGAAAATTGGGCAGACTAGATGGGCCGAATGGTTCTTATCTGCCGTCACATTCTATGTTTCTATATGTTTTCTGTGCCTGGAGATTATTGAGTTTAGTACAGTTCCTGACTCAATTATCTCTCAGGCACAAGGGAGGGATTGTCCTGTTTTGTGTGGGAGTGTCCTGGACCTGATAGCCAATGTAATTACAGTGTGTACTTTCACAGTCCCCTCTCAGGTCCAATGGGGAATGCCCCTGGAATATGTTATGGAAAACTCCTTGAATGGGGACTTGCATATAAGGCCAGTTGTGGCTGCCATTAAACAGTTCAACTTCACCCTAAACACAGAACCTCGTCTCGTGATTGTAGGGAACAGCTATACCAGCTATATCACTAGCTCTTGTAAGAGCTATCCTGCTATACTCTCTGGAAGCTGGATCCCTGATCTACCCACTGAAAGCTGGATCCCTGACTTGGGTCCAGGGTGGGTGGAGGAAAGTGGAGGAAAGCTGCAGTGGTCTACAGTGCTGATGGTGTCTGGTGGAGTGCTTGAAAGTACTTGGAGGTACTAGGAAGCAGTGATTGGCGGAGGCACCCCGTTCGGGTGCTAGGCGGTCCGTTACAATACTATTCTATATATTCGATTAATTTCTTTACCTTTTTGTGTATTGAATGTGAAATACCTTATTAGAATTTATACCATTTTAAAGTATTGCCCGGATTTATAACATAACGTAGACACATTTTAATTACCCCTTGATGTTTGGGGTGTATTTTCTAAGAGAAACACACAGAACTGTTTAAAATTTTATTTTCCAATCTTGTTAACGGCAAAAAAAATGTTTTGATTGTGGCATGACAATTTAGGACAGGCAAATTAATCTCCAATGGTATGGTTTTACGTGGACATGGTAATACAGAAGCAGAGATTAATTTATCCTTATATAAGGAGGACACAGAGCAATCCCAGTAAAACAGAGTTACTAGTACAGAAAAAACGTCAGTGAAACAGGGATGGGAGGCCCATTTCTGATGCCAGTTGTTGCTATTATTCACTATCACCACTATAAGTTATGAACCCAGTCCATTTCTACCACAAAAATTTAAAGGGATGAATAAAGTATACAATACATATAGGGGTGTAATTAATATTTTATTAGAAACATACTGAAAAGCAAAAAACAAAAACAAAAGATTACATTTCTATTTTTTTTACCCAAAGATACAGACTGTGCCATATGCCATGCGGTGCTTGTATTCATATAAGACAAAAGAAGCTGGGGGGAAGTTCCCACTCATTTCCAGCTTCCCAGGCACAGTGTGAATGGTTATCCCTTTGCCTAAACCTTTAGACAGCTTCTGAAGCATACGTTGGGCGAGGTAGCGCTTGGCAAAACCTGGATCAGCCTCAATGTTGGCATAGACATCCGGAGGTGGATTTGGGATTTTCCATTCTAGATCTCCAATCAACTGATGTGTTTTCCCTTTGTCTAAGGACACTGGGTTCTCACTGTAGCAAAGGACGACTTGGGTTCCACACTCTCCCCTTACTGAAATGTAACTGCCATTTACTAGGACCTCCTCAGGTTTGTCCTCCGAAGGATGGGACACCATCACTGCCCAGCGCAGCCAGTCATAGTTCTTCTCAATCATCTTGAAAACAGCTACTGCTTTCTCCTGGTCTGTGAGGGACTCATGGGCTGGCAAAAACTTTTCCACATCTTCTTGGGCCTGTTCCTTAAAATATGATGCACAATCTTTTGATGTTTCCTCCATTCTCCGATAAAGAGCTGTCATCTTGTCTGTCCATCTGCCCATCATCAATCGAGTGTCTCTGCCAGTTAAAGAACCATGTACAAAAACACACAGCAAGCCTGTGCTGAGAACAAAATTAATCTTTTGGCAGAATGCTATCATTTCCCACCGGCGTGGGTGGTGATCCTGAATAACTTGCTGAAGGAGAGTGGCCTGATCTGCCAGAACAGAGATTCCAAGCAGACGATTATAGAGCGCATTCACCTGTCTTTCAATCTTGTAATCTTGTACATACTGCAGGAAAACCTCCTTCTCCTTCTCGGAGTAAGACTTCTCTGCTCGAATGACAGCACTCAACTGCTGGTAGACCACGGTCATATCATCTTCACATCTGGTGACATCAGTGTCTCTCATCAATCCCTTTCCTGCTGCCAACTCCTTGTCAATAGACTCCAGGGTTTTTTTCACAATCTCCAATTCTTCAGCTGTAGCTGAGCCATTAATCTGAGCCACTATTCCTAGCACAAGAGAGTTTATTGACTGGACATAGCTCACTGATTCCCAAGCTTTACCAAACTGAGCCATGATCAATCCAAATCTCAGTCGTCAGTCTCAGGTTCGTGATTCTGCCAGTAAACATTGGAAAATAAAAGAAAAAAAGAGTAATAAAACATAATGAGGGAAAGGAAACATGGCTTTGATTAATTTTCACATTTTGTCATGAGAATTCTTCAATTCCCCTACCTGTCTATATACCAACATTACCTCCTACCTGTCTGTATACCAACATTACTTTCTACCTGTCTATATATTAACATTACCTTCTACCTGTCTATATACCAACATTACTTCCTACCTGTCTATATAATAACATCACCTTCTACATGTCTATATACCAACATCACTTTCTACCTGTCTGTATACCAACATTACTTCCTACCTGTCTATATACCAACATTACCGTCTACCTGTCTATATATTAACATCACTTTCTACCCGTCTCTATATTAACATCACTTTCTACCTGTCTATATATTAACATCACTTTCTACCTGTCTATATATTAACATTACCTTCTACCTGTCTATATATTAACATCACTTTCTACCTGTCTATATAATAACATCACCTTCTACCTGTCTATATACCAACATCACTTTCTACCTGTCTGTATACCAACATTACTTTCTACCTGTCTGTATACCAACATTACCGTCTACCTGTCTATATATTAACATCACTTTCTACCCGTCTCTATATTAACATCACTTTCTACCTGTCTATATATTTAACATCACTTTCTACCTGTCTATATATTAACATCACTTTCTACCTGTCTATATATTAACATTACCTTCTACCTGTCTGTATACCAACATCACTTTCTACCCGTCTATATATTAACATCACTTTCTACCTGTCTCTATATTAACATTACCTTCTACCTGTCTATATATTAACATTACCTTCTACCTGTCTATATATTAACATCACTTTCTACCTGTCTATATACCAACATCACTTACTACCTGTCTATATATTAACATCACTTTCTACCTGTCTATATATTAACATCACTTTCTACCTGTCTATATACCAACATCACTTTCTACCTGTCTATATATTAACATCACTTTCTACCTGTCTATATACCAACATCACTTACTACCTGTCTATATATTAACATCACTTTCTACCTGTCTCTATATTAACATTACCTTGTACCTGTCTCTATATTAACATTACCTTCTACCTGTCTATATATTAACATCACTTTCTACCTGTCTCTATATTAACATCACTTGCTACCTGTCTATATATTAACATTACCTTCTACCTGTCTATATATTAACATCACTTTCTACCTGTCTATATATTAACATTACCTTCTACCTGTCTATATATTAACATTACCTTCTACCTGTCTATATACCAACATCACTTACTACCTGTCTCTATATTAACATCACTTTCTACCTGTCTATATATTAACATTACTTTCTACCTGTCTATATACTAACATCACTTTCTACCTGTCTATATACCAACATTACCGTCTACCTGTCTGTATACCAACATCACTTTCTACCTGTCTATATATTAACATCACTTTCTACCTGTCTATATATTAATATTACCTTCTACCTGTCTATATATTAACATCACTTTCTACCCGTCTATATATTAACATCACTTTCTACCCGTCTATATATTAACATCACTTTCTACCTGTCTATATATTAACATGACTTTCTACCTGTCTATATATTAACATTACCTTCTACCTGTCTATATATTAACATCACTTTCTACCTGTCTCTATATTAACATCACTTTCTACCTGTCTATATATTAACATCACTTTCTACCTGTCTATATATTAACATCACTTTCTACCTGTCTATATAGTAGCATTACCTTCTACCTGTTTACCTGTCTATATACTATAATCTCCTTCTACCTGTCTGCATATCATGGAGACATTATGCCAGCCTTCATAGGTGTATTACCAATTGTAAACAGTTACTGTTTTCCAACAATATGCTCCTCACACTGTCTGTAAACATTTACTGCTGACACACAATATGCCCCTCACACTGTCTGTAAACATTTACTGCTGACACACAATATGCCCCTCACACACATTACACTGTCTGTACGCACTCACTGCTGACACACAATATGCCCCTCACACACATTACACTGTCTGCACGCACTTACTGCTGACAGACAATATGTCCCTCACACACATTACACTGTCTGTACACACTTACTGCTGACAGACAATATGCCCCTCACACACATTACACTGTTTGCACGCACTTACTGCTGACACACAATATGTCCCTCACACACATTACTGTCTGTACGCAGTTACTGCTGACAGACAATATGCCCCTCACACACATTACACTGTTTGCACGCACTTACTGCTGACACACAATATGTCCCTCACACACATTACTGTCTGTACGCAGTTACTGATGACACGCAATATGCCCCTCACACACATTACACTGTCTGTACCCACTTACTGTTGCTGAGTTAATGGTTTGCTTACCACTTGCTGTACTCCGATGTGTCGTGTTTTATTTATTAAAGAGTGATGCTGCCTGTCTGTCGTCTGTACTCTGTCTGTAGTTTGTACTGTCTTTACAGCTCTCTGTCGTCTGTCCTGCACTGTCTTTGTGCTGACCTAAGTCTGTGCTACGTTTTGTGTTTGTAGTCCTTCCCATGATCTTGGCAGAGATGGTATATGATTATCTTATCACTATCTGCAGGCAGGTGACAAACCATGAACAATAGTATGGCTAGTAATTGGCCACCATCCCACCAGACAAGGGAGTTTACAGCACACAGGTGACTATAGGACACAGCGACATTACTAAGTCAATATTTGAGAGAACGAGATTGCAGAATCTCAGTAAGGAGCCTTTACTTTATCAGTGAACTTCATACTGACATTGTTTGGAATGCTTTACCATAATGAGTCAATATAATGGTAGTCCTTACTAACCAAAATAAGGTATCTATAGTAGTATCTGAGGTAGGATCTCCTTAATGGTTGCCATAGTAGGGTCTCTTTGAGGGTAGTCAGGATAGGACCGCTATGGTGGTACCTAGGTTTAATTTCTCTTTGGTGCTAATTTTGGTAAGGTCTCTATGGTGGTAATTGGGGTTGGGTATCTATGGCAGTGGTCTTGGTATGGTAGTAGTCAGGGTAGGGATTCTATAATGGTATTTGATTTTAGGGCCTATATGGCATTAGTTGGGCTAAGACCACCCATGTTATATTTGTAGTAGGCTGTCTATGGGGTGGGGTCTCTGTTACAAAATGCCTTTTGTAACTGTCTCTTTAAGTGACAAATTGCCCTGCTTACCTGTATTATGGAGAAGCTTTATTGCCAGCCTCCTTCCTCATGACTATGACCCTGGTGTGTATGGCCCTTTAAGAACAGTCTGTGAGCATATTGGTGCTTATGGACTTTTATGGGACTGGTGCTGGCCCTTTAAGCACATTTTTGGGACATGGGGAAAATTGTGAAAATGCTCCTTTAAGACGTACTTTAACCAAGTCCCCAGACTTGGTTAAAGTACTTTATTCATGGCTTCTTTACACTTGGTTCAGTAAATGGGGCTTACTGAACCAAGTACCACACAGGCGGACCACCCAGAAGTGGAAGAGTGCAGGCAATTTACCTCCCAGGCTGGGAGCCTGCTGTAGGTAAACTGCCGACCGCTGGGTGGCCGCAGTTCGTTCAAACGAACACGTGGTGGCAGGGCCGTCTTTAACGCGGGGCAAACGGGGCAGCTGCCCCGGGCCCTGTCCCTGCTGGGGGGCCCGAGGTAACTGCCCTGTTTGCCCTCTGCCCGCAAACTATGGGGGCCCATCGGGTGGCCCATGCACTTAGGGCCACCCGGTGGGCCTGTGTCAGCAGGGGCCCGGTCGGGCGCTGTGGCGCTTTAACAGCACGACCGGGCCCTTGCTTTTCGGCAGCAGTGGGAGGAAGTGACAGCCGTGCGTCACTTCCTCCCACAGAAACAGGAGCCGCGCGGGAGGAAGGAGGACCAGCTGTTCCGGAGGGGGCCAGGCCGGGAGGGCTTAACTCCCAGCCACCCCAGCCAGCCCACTGGACCCCAGGGAAGCCACCCTCCAGGACAAGGTAAGAAACTGGAGGGTGGTTATCAAAGTCTGTCAGTGTATCTGTATGTCTGGATGTGTGTTTGTCTGTCAGTGTCTGTGTGGTTCAGTATGTCTGTATGTGTGTATGTCTGTCAGTGTGTCAGTATGTCTGTGTGAGTCTGTCAGTGTCTGTGTGTTTCAGTATGGCTGTCTGTGAGTTTCAAAATGTCTGTATGTGTGTATATCTGTCAGTGTCTGTGTCTGTATGTGTGTATGTCTGTCAGTGTGTCAGTATGTCTGTGTGTGAGTCTGTCAGTGTCTGTGGTTCAGTGTGTATGTGTGTTTCAGTATGGCTGTCTGTGTATGTCAAAATGTCTGGATGTGTGTTTGTCTGTCAGTGTCTGTGGGTATGTGTGTTTCAGCATGTCTGTCTGTCTGTATGTGTGTTTCAGCATGTCTGTCTGTCTGTCTGTGTGCCAGAATGTCTGTCTGTCTGTGTGCCAGAATGTCTGTCTGTGTGCCAGAATGTCTGTCTGTGTGCCAGTATGTCTGTCAGTGTGCCAGTATGTCTGTCAGTATGTCTGTGTGTGAGTCTGTCAGTGTCTGTGGTTCAGTGTGTATGTGTGTTTCAGTATGGCTGTCTGTGTATGTCAAAATGTCTGGATGTGTGTTTGTCTGCCAGTGTCTGTGTGTATGTGTGTTTCAGCATGTCTGTCTGTCTGTATGGGTGTATGTGTGTTTCAGCATGTCTGTCTGTCTGTATGTGTGTATGTGTGTTTCAGCATGTCTGTCTGTCTGTGTGCCAGAATGTCTGTCTGTGTGCCAGAATGTCTGTCTGTGTGCCAGAATGTCTGTCTGTGTGCCAGTATGTCTGTCAGTGTGTCAGTATGTCTGTGTGAGTCTGTCAGTGTCTGTGTGTTTCAGTATGGCTGTCTGTGAGTTTCAAAATGTCTGTATGTGTGTATATCTGTCAGTGTCTGTGTGTTTCAGTCTGTCTGTGTGTGCCAGAATGTGTGTATGTCTGTCAGTATGTCTGTGTGTGAGTCTGTCAGTGTGGTTCTGTATGTCTGTGTTTGTCAATATGTCTGTCAATGTCTGTGTGTATGTGTGTTTCAGTATGTCCGTCTGTCTGTGTGTATATGTGCCAGTACGTCTGTCAGTGTATCTGTATGTCTGTGTGTGTGAGAGTCCATCAGTGTCTGTGTGGTTCAGTATGTCTTTGTATATGTGTGTTTCAGTATGGTTTTCTGTGTGTGAGTCTGTGTCAGTACGTCTGTCAGAATGTGTCTCTGTATCTGTATGTTGTCCATTTGTATTTGTGTGTGTATCTGTATGTGTCAGTGTTTGTATCTGTATATCTGCATGTGTGTCAGGTTGTGTATCTGTGTATCTGTGTGTCTGTCTGTCAGTGTGTGTGTCGGTGTATCTATAAGTAGTCAGTGTGTGTACCTTTGTATCTGCATGTATGTCAGTGTTTGTATGTGTGTGTGTCAGTGTATCTATATGTAGTCTGTGTGTATCTGTATGTTCTTGTGTGTTTCTATATGTGGTCAGTGTGTATCTGCATGTGTGTCAGGTAGTGTATTTGTGTGTATCTAGACGTAGTCAGGGGGCCCAAGTAAATGCTCGCCCAGGGTCCAATCTAAATTAAAGACGGCCCTGCGTGGCGGTGGCCATCTTTGTTCATTTGAACGCGGTCAGCGGTGTGTGTAGCCAAATCCATGGAACTGAAATCGGCTACACATTTCAACTAACACCGCTGACCCTTACCTTCTCCTCCACTCAGTTTTCAGCTACAGAGACTAAGTCCTGTTCGGCAGTTTGAACTCTGCTATACTGAGCCAATTGCACGAACGGCCTCATTTGTGCATTCGAATAGGACTTAGTCATTTTTCTGAGTGAAATTGAGCTACCGCACAACCCAAATCAATGGAGCTGTTTTGGGCAGGAAAATGTGATTGCGGTCGGTCATAAAGGACTTCCGTCTAACTTTTTATCTACTGGAGGGATTTGTATGATTTTTGAAAGTGTATATGTTTAGTGTGCTGAGTTCGAATATGTAATTTATATGAAGATTGAATGTACATTTTTAAAGTTACAGTACATGTGTAAAAACTGTATTTTTCCTGCCTGTGATAATTATGTTAACCCATTGTGTACCATAATTATATCACAGGCACAGGGGAGGATTTTGTGTGTAATTGCTGGGAGTGTTTTACTGTAATGTACATGTGTTATTGGTTGTTCTACAAAACCCTGTGGGCGGTCCTGTATGTGTAAGACCTCCATAAAAGAAAGCCCTTTGGCACCAATTAAAGAGAACTACTTGACCCTCTAACTCGCAGCCTCGACTCCTGATCCTGCTTCGCTCTACAGGAGGAAGAGGTTCACCTACTGGAACCTGGTCATAGGTTCAGAGTGGATAGCAGACGGCGAGATACCAGCCCAGCAGCGGTGATTCGTGGATAGAGTTGAGCTGACACCTGGATGTTCGGGTCCTGCGGTTCCGGCCGAACTTTGAAAAAAAGTCCAGGTTCGAACTTGACCCCGAACCCCATTGAAGTCAATGGGGACCTGAACCTTTGGCCACAAAAATGCCTCTAAAAAACTCCTGGAAAGGGCTAGAGGGCTGGAAAAGTAAAAAAGTAAAATGGGAGTAGGAAAAGTGCCCTGCAAACAAATGTGGATAGGGAAATAACTTAAAAATAACATAAAATAAGCAGCCGCTTAGTAGATAACTCCCTAATTCACACGGTATTAGGGAGCTATCTACCAAAAGGCTGAAAGACCTTAATTGGTCACCTAACTTGGGGTGGGCCGTAGGTGCCGGGGAGGACACAATAGGTATTTAGGGCCCCCACCTGCCGCTCAGGCCACTCACTGTTTAATAGACATGCCCCTACTCATGGTATAGTGAGTAGGGGCATAATTTACTAATACTAAGTGACCAGCTTCTATAGAGGCTGGGTCACATGCTGCACTGGCCAATCACAGCCATGCCATTAGTAGGCATGGCTGTGATGGATTCTAAGGGCACATTAGTCAAACGCTTGTTGATTGCCTGCCCTGTGGCCTTTCAAAACGCGTCATTAAATCGCCAAACTCCAAACCGAACATACAGTGATATGTCCGTGTTCGGGGTCCAAAAACGTAATGTTCGGTACAACTCTATTTGTGGATTCTCTATTTGTGGATTCTGCAGTGTTTATGTTGTCTGCGGTCTGATGGTCCTTTGGTGAGCGCTAGGAGCATCCTTTCTATGGTCCAACTTTCAGCTAGCCTGGAGGCAACCGTAACAGTCTCTATGGTGGTACTTGGGTATCTATGGCAGTGGTCTTGGTATGGTCTTTATGGTAGTAGTCAGGGTAGGGATTCTATAATGGGTTTTGATTTTAGGGCCTATATGGCATTAGTTGGGCTAAGACCATGGTCTCTATTGTGGTAATTGGGGTTGGGTCTCTATGGTGGTAATTGGGGTGGGGTATCTATGGTGGTAATTGGGGTAGAGTATCTATGGTGGTAATTGGGGTGGGGTCTCTATGGTGGTAATTGGGGTGGGGTCTCTGTGATGGCAATTGGGGTGGGGTCTCTATGGTGGCAATTGGGGTGGGGTCTCTATGATGGTAATTAGGGTTGGGTCTCTATGATGGTTGTAACGGAGCTCCCCGTACTCCGACCGAGT